TCCAACTGACCCTACCCTCCGCAGACTCGCTGCATGAGCTGTGCGCCGAGAACCACTACACGTGCTGGATGGACGGCGAGTGCAATCCCGGCCTGTGCTACCTAATGAGCCAGGAGGGCTTTACGCTGAAGCAGGGGTGCGAACAGCCTGTCCGCTTCGTCTGCCGTACCAAGGGTAAGGGCGTACACGTGTACAACAGTGGCCAAATCCTTAGACGCAACCCTAGCCGGATCAATATGGAGGAACCCACCCAGGGCGTCATGGCTGCTGTCTGCGTCAGACCAACATCTTGTTCCCCAATTTATCCCGTGTCTTTGCAGAGTCCCCGAGGTGGTGCCCCGACAGGAAGCCTCACCCGCCGCGGCATGGCCCCAAGCCTGGTACGTAGGGCCGTCGGTAGCTAGTACATGCCGTGCCCGATTATCAGAATCCTGATGTCGGACCTGCCAACGTCTGCATGTGTACATACAGCCCACCTTGTAAACAAGTGCCCGCAAGCAGCATGCGCACAACTAACGCCTCCCACAATCCGTTTTCCCGTGCGTCTTTCAGACAACAACGTGCTCAGGCTGTTCAAGCACGGCTATGTGTACCGCATGTACACCGTGGATGCCACACAGCGCTTGCCGAACACGGGAGCCGAGAAGTTCTGCCAAGACCTGGGTTTCGGCTGGGACCTGGTACCTTACGGTGATATGTCAGGCTACGACGCCCTCAACCACCTGTGCGCCACGAACCACTACACATGCTGGTTCAAGAAGGCCAAGGATGATACCCTGTGCCCGCTTATTGATGCTGAGGGCAAGCTGCAGATGCAAGGCTGCGAGCAAGACGTGCGATTTGTGTGCCGCAAGCGGGTTGACTAGAAGTTTCCTATCGTGAATGACACGCGTGGTGCATGATGCAAGCAATCTAGGTGTGACGCTTCGGGCTCCATACCAACTGTGAAAGTGGGCTGCTTGTTGTTTGGTCGCGGCAATTGTGATGTATTTAGACATGCTGCACATGCAGCTTTGCTTACCGTGCCCTCTCCTCCCTCCTCTTCCCCGTCGCCCCTGCACACCCCGTGCCCCTGCCAGCAGCCCCACGCACCCATTGCCCCTGCCAGCCGCCCCACGCAACCCTCCCCCCTCCCCGTTGCCCTCTCCCCCCTTCCTGTCGCATTTCAGCTTGCTTAAACCCTTCTCCGCCCCCTCCTCTCTCTCCTGTGTCTGCCCCAAACGTTTCTGGTAGCCAAAACGGCCATGCCCTCTCCTCCCTCCTCTTCCCCGCCGCCCCTGCGCACCTTCACGGGCATTACAGCCTCCCATGTCCTTGCCCCCGCATGCCACACAGCAGTAACAGAGGTGCTCTGCACCTACCTGCCAACGCAGCTGCCGCCGCAGAAATGTAACTGAATGAATGAATGACCGTTACAATGGTGCTCTAAAAGGGAACACGGGTGATGAACCCAACCCTACATTGCAAAAGAAACGGAACAAACCGTTGTGATGCAACCGTAAAGACAGCACCACAACGGGCCAAAAAGATGGGATACATACATAGCCCTAAACGAAACCACAGGAGGTAAACAAGAGGGTAGAAGCCAAAAAAGGGCCCCTCAGCAAACCTCGACAAACCTCATCTAGGGCATAAGACAACCCAAACCGGAAGCCGCGAACTGGAAGCCCCTCTCTTGTTTGCACTTCCCCACCGACACCCCATGCTGCTGCACATTAGGGCGCTCCCACCACAGTCAACACGCAGCATTTGGGCAGGCCATGAGATCGCTTCAGTCTGGTATTACATCGACAGGCAGCTGCTAAGGACCAGACACTTAATAGGGCCCCTCCCTCCCCAATGATCGCCTTCACGCGACACGCGCAGAACAAAACAGAGCGCCCAGTAGCGGGCTGTGCGGCAATTTACCAGCAGATAGCCGTCTGAACCGGTAACACATGATAGCGAAAAAATCCCATGAAGAATCCTGTGACGTGGCACACTTCGTTCGCCTGCCCGTTTTCACATCCCAACGTGGACAACCACGCACACTTGATTACGCTTGAATAGGGAGAAGGGCGCCAGGTTGCCGTTGAGCATGTGGCTCAATCTGCAAATGGTTCCGGAGTGGTGGGTTTTCAGTTTGGTGCAAAGATACAGGATAAAAGAAGTTGCAAGAGCATCAAGCTTCTTGTCCCTCCGTTGGCGGGAAATGGTACGTTTTCCATCGCACCCACATTTGCGGATTTTAATGGCCCAGTGAGGGAAGCGCTTGTGCCAGTAGGCGATGCCGTAGCTGTTCAGTTGAGGGTTAGTAGGAAAATAGTAAGATGGGGAAATCCTGGTAGGGTCCAAGGTCCATAGGAAATAGCACAGATACCTTACATCAGCAGATCAGAAAAACCTTAGTATACCAGCCTGGCATGGTGCGCAAGAGCCTCGGCTACAGCGGCACCCTACAGGTGTTGGGTATTGAGAACTGCTGTATACGCACTTACTGCTCCAAGGTACGTTGGGAGTCGTCCATGTGCTTTCCGGCGTACGACAGCTTCTGCAGTGCTGGCAGAATACCACCAACGTCCTGCAGCGGCAGTGGGCGGCATAGTTTACCGGTACAAATCTTGCTTACCACGTTTGGATGGGAAGGCTTGCAGCTTTTGAAGGAGTTTACGTACGTATGGCGTGAGCAGCTTATACCCGGGAGATAAGAGAGCATTGTGCGCAAGCTGTCGTAAGCAAGCTTATAAGCACAATAAAACATACGACACTTAGTCGTCCCTGCACGCACGTGAGGGTTATGCATATGCGTGTTAGTGCCGTACGTAACGGCAATCAAACTTAGATGACCGAGGCTCACCCGGATCACGGTCCGCAGCTCCTCCACGCGCATCTTGGGGCTGATCTTGATGCAGAAAGGGCCACCTGAATGTCGGCCTGTGGCCGGATCCACAGCTTCGCCGTACTCGCTTTGATCGTGCTGCCGTGCGCCGGTGTGGATAGCAAACACAGTTTAATGTGTTGGTTATCACAGGAAATGGTGGTAACTCGTCATAGACATGCTGTCGTCTGTCGATGTAGTTTTATACTCGCAAAACTGCGGCATATACGTTCCGGCGCTGTTAGGGTAGCCATACCAACCCCGTCAATAAAGGACCCCATATAGTACCCCTGCCACTTCCTAACAAACAACCTACCAGCTCGCTAACGACCCAGACCTCCATGAACGCCTCCGCTGCCAGCCGAGCCCCGGACGCCACGTAGCCTGTTTAGGTTTGCCGGGAGGGCGAATACCAGTGGAGCAGGTCATGCATGCAGCAGCCGCCCTTGATTAGCATGCACCGAAGTCTTCGTCGCTTAATGCTCAAAAGTATCTTTAGCATTGCATCCATCAGACATACCTGTATTTGTCAGACTCACCATCATTTCGCGGCAGCTACCCACAACCTACCGTGCGGGATGCCCTCCTCGTAAGCCTTGGCTCGGTCGGCCTCTGCCTGGTCTTTGCTGGGTGTATACATGGGCTGCCACTCTGGAGGAGACAAGCGGTGGAGCGACACAGGGCGCGGGTGTTTTGAAGGGATGCAATTATGCTCGTAAGACACGGTGAACATCATGCAAAGCCAGGTTGCCTGCTGACGTAATCAACACGTTTGACCCCTTTACCGCTTTTCCCGGTCTCTCCTTAACTCCTTAAAATCACCCTGACCCTACACCCGGAGCCTAACCTGACAGCTGGCCGCCATCCGCCTGCGCAGGTCGTGGAGCGAGGAAAGTGGGGGCTTGTTTAGGCACTCGAGAATGATAGTGTAGGCGAAGGCGATGGCATGCGGCTAGGAAGAGCACGGCACTCAGGAATGGAACTGCTAGTAGGGCGAGTAGCAATCAGCCACTTAACTTGGAGCTAGTATTCATGACAACAAAGCCGCAATCCGCCAGCGCAGCAGACCCACGGGACACACAGCAGCCTGTGGTCCCTTACCTGGCCCATCGCCCCTCCCCGCGCCTCCCGTCCCTCACCTGCACCACAGCGGTGTACCTCTCCTCCTCGCTGTAGAAAGGGTAGTTGTTGGGTGCGACGCGGAGGAAGCCGGTACGGCCGGTACCTGCAAGAGATGGCGTACAGGATAAGGCGAAAAACATTTTCTGCAAAACACGCAAGCAAAACTGGAATGCGCGATGCTCCAACGGTCTAGTCCCACCGCTATCCCATGTCCACTCTGCACCCAGCGGCGGGTAAGGACACCTAAGCCTTCACCCTTCCAGTACTTCGCGATCCAGGAGTGCTTACCCGGGGTGGGGTTGTACTTGGAATACACCACTTCGTACGAAGTTGGATCCGCATCAGGCGCCGGATTGTACAGCGGATCCGTACGGTAGCGCTCCTGGAGCTGTCCCAGCTCAGTGGCGTCCCAGGCAGTGGGGACGGTGTCCGGCAGTACGCGCAGCAGCAGCGCGGCTGTAGCAGAAGCGGCCATGTTGGTGCACTGGTGGTCTGGGAGGACAAAGGGCACCTGTGTTTAGCAGCTCGGTCACGCTGTGCGTTTCTGTTGACATGGGCAGACAGAAGCAATGCCAGCGCGCAGGCAAGGACGACCAAACACCTGGAGCGATCGAGACCCACCAAGAGAATTGCCAGTGAAGAGGAACGCACGTGACTGCAAACCCACAAGACTCGTCTAGTCTTGGCTAGCTATGGAGCTGAAGTGCTACTGGAGAAAGGTCACGGAATGCAAAGCCCTCAGCCAGCAGGAAGCTTGACAGTAAACGCTCTTGGAAAGCGATTCGAGGTAAGGTGTGGGGGCTATGGAGATTGGTAGGGTTGGGTTCCCTTGTGTCGAGCTACTTGTGGATAACGTAAAGGCTCGGCCGTTAGAGAGGAGCGTTGAAAGTGCGTAACAATTACCTCGCTCACAAGCGCTACCAGCGTGGATACCACATTTACCGTACACAAACTCGGTTGTTGCGTCCGAGTCGTTGGGTCCAAGCTAACTGAATACGTTGATAGCGGTTGGTTTCTCGAGGTTTCTTCTTGGACGGCTCCGAAAGGGCGAGCGGCGTGCAAGCACCCAGGGCGCCAAGCCCATGCCTCCAACATCTCCAGCACCAACCAATTGCCACCATGTGTTGAGTCTCGTGCCATTGCGTGCTGCGCAAAAAAACGCATACCGGTATGCACATGCAACATGACCTCCGTGGCCTACCTGATGTGACACCAACCCGCAGCCACATCGAACAACACGACCATTACCATCGAAACAACCCACTGATACCGGTAATTGAAACGGCGATACGGATATGGCGAACTGCCGAAAACTAAGGCACCAAATGGCACATCACACGAATGAGCGCAGGTGCTGCTGTGCACCCTCGTTAAAGCATACGAACAACATGTACACACCTCGTTCATGGTTTTGTACTCATTCCATGCTTACTCATTCGTCCTACTGCATGCTTACCAACTCCCGCCCCTCCTCCCTCCTCCCTGCACGTCTTATTCATTACTTTTGCCTCCCTGTCTACGTCGTCTGCGAACGGTAACTTGGCTTCGGATCGCCTCCAGCAGCTCCGCCCTTCTCACCCGGCCCGGCGTCCAATGCCCGGTAGCTTCCCCCCCGTCCCTCGCTGCCCGACCCCTCCCTAGCAGAAAGGACCTTCCTTTCTCCCCTGCGCCTCCATCTCCTCCCCCATTGCCGTCCTGGCCTTCACCGCCACCGCCCTCAACCCCATCCTCATCCTCATCATCGCTCCTCTTGCCTTTTCCCCTCCCCTTGGCACCTTCTCTCCCACCATTCTCTTCTTCCACTTCCTCATCCGCCGCCGCGGGGGCCTCCAGCAAACCCTTGATTCCCCTCACAAAATCCCCCATACCCGTAAACAGGCGGGAATATTCCTGCAGGGCTCGAACCGCGTAGCGAACCTGCGAGGTGGGGACATGCGAGCATGGGGGCATACATACAGCATACAGGCGAGGATGAAGGAAGGAAGGGTGTCAATAGGAGGAGGACAGCAATTACGCTCATAATAATCACTGCTGCTTCCGGGTGTAACTCGGCCGCTAACCTCCTTTTCCCAGTAGCCGGCCCGGGCCATCCAAGCATGCAACCTGCCCCTTGGCTGCCCAGACACCCTGCTGACACCTAAAAAGAAAGGGACGGAAGAGGGCGACCCCCATCTTCTCAGGCAAATACGGTGCCACCTGCGAGTCATCTGCACTTCCCCACTTTCAGCAAAGCCTCCGCATCAATCCATGTTTAGGAATCTTCTGCGTCTTTCCGATGAAGCAACCAACCACCCATCCCTACCTTTCCTTCCGGTGTGAGGTACTTGGCGGCGAAATGCTGCGAGGCGTTGGCCAGCGCACGCAGCTCCGCATCTCGAGCCGGGTCCTGTACGGCAGCAGCCGCCGCCGCAGCAGCAGTAGATGCAGGAAAAGGAACGCATGTAAGGAATACAGCAGCAGCAGCAGCAGCAGGAGCAGTAGATGCAGCAACGTCCGCGGAAGAGATTACCAGTATTAACAGCACGACGCAAAAAAGAAGAAAAAAGAGTACGTGAGGGAATACAGGAGTTGGCCTCGGTTACGCTTTTAGCTCCGCATGCTCCATGAACCGCCGCAGGAAGCACCACTCTTAACCCACTTACCAGGACAAACGCTTAATACGAATCCCTAACCCCAACCACAGTAGTGCCGTACATGGACGATACCACGCACTTACGTCGTACTGCTTCATCAGGTCTAGTATGGTATCCGCGCTGTACTCGATCACGTGCCCCCCCGGCTGCAGAGAGCGGTAGTAGTACTCCAGCCAGGGGGAGCGCTCCTTCAGCACCACCGAGTTGATCTGCGGAGGAGGAGGAGGAGGAGGAGGAGAAGGGGAGGGGTGGACAGCCGAGATGCAGGAATGTTTGGTGCGGGATCTGGTAATGGGACAGGGGAGCGGGTTGCGTGCTTCTGTCTTACCTGTATATTCTACGCATATGTGCATACAAAGCTTCTGCCTCAAACCACCCCCCACCGACTGCACGGCATGCGGCACGTACGCCGCCGTGTCACGCTACTGCTAGCCAGGCGCCACCTATACTGCTATCGGTACCCGCCCTCCCGACCGGCTCCCCACCTCCCAATCACCTGCATGATATACCCCAGACGCGAGGAGGACACGTGGCCGTCCGCATTCAGCAAGAAGCGGTAGCGCGCGTGCTTGGACAGGCCCACATAGGGACGCTGGGAGGAAAGGGGAGGGTGGGGGGTGGAGAGGGAAGGGGCAAGTGGGGAGGGGTCCTGGCGGGCAAGCCTTCAGGAGGCAGGAAGGGCGACAGCGGGTTGGCGGATTGGCAGGAGCGGAATGAGGGATGAGGGATGGCAGAAATGCGACATCATCTCCGGCATTGCCTTGCTGCACACAGCGCTTCACAATCCAAGGGTTACTGCCTCAAGGAGAGGCGACGTACAGGTTGTTGTACAGTATCCCTTGTTAGGTAACGCCCTGCGGTAGTATGGTAAGTACCATGAAGGTCTGGGGCATGTGGAAGTCCTCTCTGTAGTTGCGCACGAAGCCGCAGTCCAGGTAGGGGGCGCCGCGGGGGGAGGCGCTGAGGTTGGCCAGGGCCACCCGCGTGCAGCTGGGGGACATGCGGGCCTGGTGGCGAGGGGAGGGGAGGGAGGGGAAGAGGGTTGCGGAGGGGAGGGAGAGCACCGTTAGTTGGTCGTTGAGTTCGTGTTCGGGGTTAGGGAGGACGGCTGTTAAGGGAACTAGGGATTTCCCCGGCGAACCCCCCTCCTCCGGTGCTGGCTAACCGCCATGTAACGGTGCAAGTTGGCACCAGCAGCGGGCACCTCAGCTTGCCGGGGGAGATGGAGGTCATTCGGTGTCCTCCTCGCATTCCCCACTGCGCCTTCCTCACCGCGCCCCGCCCCGCACTGCACATGCACACGCACACACCCCATGCAATCACAGTACGTTTCGCCTCGCGGCCAGCTATTTTAACACACCCATGCGGCCAGCTATTTTAACACACCCATGCGGCCAGCTATTTTAACACACCCATGCGGCCAGCTATTTTAACACACCCATGCGGCCAGCTATTTTAACACACCCATGCGGCCAGCTATTTTAACACACCCATGCGGCCAGCTATTTTAACACACCCATGCGGCCAGCTATTTTAACACACCCATGCGGCCAGCTATTTTAACACACCCATGCGGCCAGCTATTTTAACACACCCATGCGGCCAGCTATTTTAACACACCCATGCGGCCAGCTATTTTAACACACCCATGCGGCCAGCTATTTTAACACACCCATGCGGCCAGCTATTTTAACACACCCATGCGGCCAGCTATTTTAACACACCCATGCGGCCAGCTATTTTAACACACCCATGCGGCCAGCTATTTTAACACACCCATGCGGCCAGCTATTTTAACACACCCATGCGGCCAGCTATTTTAACACACCCATGCGGCCAGCTATTTTAACACACCCATGCGGCCAGCTATTTTAACACACCCATGCGGCCAGCTATTTTAACACACCCATGCGGCCAGCTATTTTAACACACCCATGCGGCCAGCTATTTTAACACACCCATGCGGCCAGCTATTTTAACACACCCATGCGGCCAGCTATTTTAACACACCCATGCGGCCAGCTATTTTAACACACCCATGCGGCCAGCTATTTTAACACACCCATGCGGCCAGCTATTTTAACACACCCATGCGGCCAGCTATTTTAACACACCCATGCGGCCAGCTATTTTAACACACCCATGCGGCCAGCTATTTTAACACACCCATGCGGCCAGCTATTTTAACACACCCATGCGGCCAGCTATTTTAACACACCCATGCGGCCAGCTCCCTCAACAAACCCAGGTCTGCATGCCAGCCCGGGCTAGGTCGACAGATACCGGTATGGTCAAGAGTACTGCTACGCGGCCCCGTTGCTCCACGCACGCACGCACGCACGCACGCAGCCATACCTGCATGCTAGCCCGCAGCAGCCCGCGCTTGTCCTTGGCGGTCCAGGGGAAGAACACGAGTCGGTCGAAGCGATGGCCCATGTGCGGGAACAGCACGTCACTGTCTAGGCTCCTGGTGGCAGATACCGGTGGGAGAGCGGGAGGGGGAGGAGCGAGCGGCGGCCGCAAGGGGGACGGTGTGAGCGTCATTTGTGGGATGGAGTCGGCGGCGGCAATGCATAGGACTGGAAGAAGGATGTCCTCTTGGTCCCCTTCCCAGCTCCTCTGCGTGGTTAACTGGTTGTGCTTTCCGCTATGGCCAGCCCCCTCCTGCCACTCACCTCTTCAGCGCCCAGTCGTACCGCTTGTGCATGGAGAACACCGGCACCCAGCAGCCCCCCACCAGCCGACACACGGGGGTGTCGTACGGGTTAAACACAAACACCGTGTCAGGTAGCCGCAGCCCCAGCCGCGCCGCACCGCTGCAGAGTTCCTCTAGGCAGGAGTCAACCTGGGTTGGTACAGGCATGCAGGGATGCAGGGATGCAAAGGTGGTTGCATGGTTAGATAGAGTGTACGGCAACAGAACACACGGTGTCGCTGTAGGTACCCGAGGTGGGGGTAAGTTCAATAGGAGCAAGTCAGGAAAGGCGCGAAAAGGGAGACCCGGCGGCTAATAGTGCGGTCTCATGTGTCAAGCTGCCACATGCGCTCGCGAAACGACTCCCTCACCCTAAGCTTTAGTACGTGTTCTATCCCCGTGGGCAAGGCACGGTAGCACCGGCCTCCTCGCAGGACCACAACCGCTAGGCGATTGGCAGCGGTGCTTGATTGAAGCGCGAGGATCTGGGTCGCCAGGCGAGAAAGACCCATGGGTCGGCCCTTCTGTGGGATGAGTTATGCGGCAATGACGAGAGATTGACACAGGGAAGCACATGACTTCAGTGTAAGGCGAATGATTGATGTTTACAGTAAGCATTTCGTCAGGCAACTATGTGTGGACGACACCATACATAGGTCCTCTCTATGGTTAGGGGATCTGACAATTGCTCTTGTTAGGCCCCATGATCGATAACCCGTTTGACAATGTGGAGAGACCACCACAACCAGGTGGCAATGCGTAACACCACCAACACATAACCATTGCAGCTTGCTGCCCATGCGAATTTACGAAAGCAGCTAGCACGCCCACCTTGACAACCCAACTCGTGTACGGTTGTAGGTCTGGAAACAGGTTATCCCTGCATCATAGAGCAGAACAGCTACGTCGGCACAACGCACAGGGTATTGGATCGACGACACATGCGAGTTACTAGCAAGAGCAACGCGCAAGGGCTCCAGGGAGAGCTATAAGAAGTTAAATGCCTAGCTTCGTAAACCCAGTTTCCCGCTAATCAAGACATTCATCTATTTCCCCGGATAAACCAAGCACTAGCTAAAGTGCTGAGAATACCTCGAGCACCCATGCACGGTGCACGAGTCGTGTCCCGCAAACGGACTCGCACATACCGAAAAATGGAATCCCATTCTTCTTCCGTGGTTGCTGGTTCGTAGCCGGGAGGCGGCTCGCGAAGGATAAGTACATCCTGGGGAGGTATATGAGCACTACATCAATAAAACTATGCGGGTCCCCATCAGTTCTGCTTGCTAGCGGGCGACCGCAAATGGGAAGTCCGACATGGCCGACAGGACTGCAGTGACGCGCCGATACAACCCCCCAGTGATGTACCTTAACTGTCGTGGGCTTATCTAAGAATGGTAGCCCAGCATAAAGTGCGTCCTCTGCCTGGACTGTTGCAAGCATCATCGCCAGAAGCGAGACGAGTAATCCGTATTGCATTGTGCTTATCAGGTAAACGTCTTAGTGTTAAGTTTAATTTTGCTACCATTAGTATGAAAGGCGCCTAATGCATTACGGGAAGAAATTCGACCCCAGCTCCCCAGGCCTTCGGACGACACTGGCGCATAATTCTATTATCCATTAGGTAAAACTCACAACCCAGTTCCGTTTTAGTCATGCAATATAAGTTGTATTTGGTTGGGCAAATCTTTTGCGGGAGCGTACATGCGTTCCACTGCGCGCGTCGTACCCAAGTCTCAACACAGCCCTTTGGAGCCTTGAGCTGTACTCAAATATGCGTGTAAGAACTGTTATTTGGCATAGAGAGAACACATGCTTTGATACTAGTCGGGATAACCGTCACTTAACAATACAAGTTGCCTTGACCGATCGGTGCTTATTAAAGTAGTCTCATAAAGAGCTTATTGTGAACGTATTAAAGGTGTCATTGGGTCGCTTAAGCTCAATTTTGGTCTTTGCCACACCGTTCGAAGGGATACACTCCCTTGCAATTGCAATTGGTTGCTCTTGACTCCAGTAGTTCTACTTCAGCGAGTTCGTAAGGTTAGCTCGAATTGTAATGGACTTCGACTGTTTGGCCCATGTGCCATGAGTAGCCAGCGCCCAATAGGGACGGCGAGCTCCTCGCGGGCGACGCCGTCCAGCTCCTCGCCGTCATCGTTGGCCACTCGACCACCGCGGGTTGCGAGTACTCCAGCAAAGGACGCGGGGCGGGCCACATCGGGCACTGCAAATAGTGTGAATGGTCGCACCGGAACGCACGCAAGCGCCTCAGCTCGCAGCTCGGCAGCAGCAGCAGCGGCGGCGGCATCTGCATCTGCAGCAGCAGCTGGAGGGGATGTCGATGGCGGGGAGGAGCTTGTGGCGCAACTGCAGGAGCGGCTACAGCAGCTAGGTGAGCTAGGTGACTGGGTGCAGTCCGCGCGTCGTTCAGGTCCAAGGCAAACGGCTGCTTCCGATTGTTGGAATCAACCAATGGGCAGTTGAGCCCATGCGCCGGGTGATCGTGACCAGGTGCTGTACCTAGGCATGAGGAGGGGGAGCGCGGGCAGGAGCAGTGGCACCGGATGACAGGACGAGAGGGAGGCGTTACCACCCAACCACACATTATCCATGCACCGTCTCCCTAAACCCGATTCCCGCATGTCCCCCCCCCCCCGCCGTCCCCAACCTAAGAGGCTGAGTACAAGGCGAGTCAGGACACGGCGCAGTGGACCATCAAGCAGAACAAAAACACGCTGCTGGCGCTTAAGCAGGTGGGGCTGGCTGGCGGCGGCCACCGGGGCTGGGGTCAAGCCTCAGGGAGGGGCGAAAAGAGGAAGGCTACTGGTATTCGTGCGACAAGGCTCCACCATGGGTGCCTCGGGGGGATGGTTACGGTGGTGGTGTTGGGCGGGGGCGGGGGCAGGCTGGGCTTGGGAGTTCGTCGGACTATATGGAGCCAGGTAAGGGGACCATGTCGCGAAGGCGGGGCGGGGCAGGCCCTGAAGTGCTCGGGAACGAAGCATGTTGCTGGCAGCAGTGTCAAGGTAATGAAGATGGTTGTGGTGGTGGAAAGGGGGCAGCGTAAGGAGGGTAGGTAGGGTGTTGCTTTTCCAAAAAGACAAGGTACAAGGAGCACTACCAGTCTACCACCCTTGTGGTGCGCTACTAGTCCTGGCGCTTCGCCAATTGTGCTTAGCTTTAGCTGCCAGCTCAGCATGTCCTCTGTGTCTTGCGCGCCCCTCGGCCCCCACACACCGCCCCCACTCTTCACACGCCCCACGCGCCCGCAGGAGAACAAGGACCTCTCAGCCGAGGTGGCGAGGCGGGGAGGTAGCACGGAACTGCAGGTCGGCAGCGGGGGGGCTGGACGTTTGGGCTAGCCACGTGTCGTACGTATACCGGTAAACATGACTTCTACGCTTCTTCTCCGTACGCTGTTCAAACGTGCCCCCGCAGTGCAAGACGGGGACAGCAACGGATGGTGAGAAGGTTATCGAGCGATTGGAGCGGCAGGTGCACGAGCTGCGAAGAGCGTACGACAAGGTAGTCAAGGTACGACTCCGAGGTCCCACATGCCGTACATGCCGACCGAGCGGGAAATAGTTGTGTGCTGTTAACCTTTACCAGAAGCCCCGTAACGGTTAATAATGGGCATATAGCCGTGGTTTGTCTGTGCGGTTTGTGCGTGCTGAGCCGGCATTAGAGCGCATCAAAACAGCTCCCGGTTGTGACGTCGTTCGGTTACCGTACCTCACACCCGTCCCGCTGCTGCCACCTGACCAGTAGCCCAGCCAGCTTCTTGCTGTTCGTACCAATGCCATTCTCCCCCCGATGTTTCCTCTGCTGTCTCTGTCCTTTGCAGGACAAGAAGACTGCCTTACAGAAGCTTGACAACCTGCACGACAGTCTCAAGGTGAGGGCTGAGAAGAGCCAAGGAGTGTGTTTTGCGATGCCGTGCCTGGGTGCGTAGCTCGCATTCTGTGTGTGCTGTTGTGAGCAAATGAGCAAAACGTGTCAGGAATCGGAGGCTTTCCCTACGGGCTACCAACTTAGCACAATCCTTAACACTAGGGCCTAGAGCCCTATTTCTTTCCACGCACATCCCTTAACCACATAAGCTGCACTCCACATATCCTTTTCCCGGCCACCCCTCTTCTCTCACACATCACCCATCAGGATATGGCAAAGGTATCCGCAGCAGCAGCAAGCGCAGCAGCAGCCACATCCGCCGTCAATGCCTCGTCAAGCGCCGCCAACGGCGCTGCCGGCGGCGTCAACGCTAGCCTCGCTAGCGCCGCCAGTACGGCTGCCATCGCCGCCGCTGCCGCTGCCCTGCCGCCCAGCAGCCCCGCGGCTCGGGAGTTGCGGCAGTTGCAAAATCGGTTGGATAAGGCGGTTGTGAAGGCGAACGAGGCGTACAGCATACGCAAGACGTATGAGCAGGTGTGATGAGCGGATGGCGTGACGTGATGTGATGGCACGTCTTGCTCCCGCCCGCTCCCACCCACCTGCGCACCCTTACCGCTCCCCTCCCTATCCTCCTCCTCCGCCCCCCTGCCCTCCCAGGTGGTTGAGAAGCTGCGCTCGGAGGAGCCGCTGCTGGAGGCTCGCATCCGGGGGCTGGAGGAGCAGCGCGCAACCAAGCAGGCGGCACTGCAGGTGGGGAGGAGAGGAGGGGTGGGAGGGGCGTGCGGCGTCTCGGCTAGCATACCGGCGTGCTCTTCCGCCGGTAACGTCGCCGCCCTCCGTTTGCTTTCCGCCCGTTTAACGCCCCCCTGGACGCCCCCCACCTCCCAAACCCCGCGCCTCCCCGCCGCCCCGCTCTCCTGCTGCTGCCCTGCAGGCCATCACGCTCACCGCCCGCGACGTGCACTCCGCCAAGGACAGCGCCAAGGCGGCTCTGGTGGCGCTGGAGGCGGAGGTGGCGGGCAACCGGGGCAGGCGGGCGCGTGTGCTGGCGGAGATGAGGGACAAGGTGGGGACTGGGGAGCAGGAGGGTGGGCGGGATGCAGGTAGAGTGGCAGGGGGATACCGGTGGGCACGGGGGAGGGAGGTTGTGAATGGGGTTTGGGTGCTCCCCGCGAATAGGGCCTGCACCTTACAAGCCGGATCTGAGTGACGTCTCGTTCCTGCCTTCCTCTGCCCGCCGCTTCTCCGCCTGCCAGGCGTCCACGCTGCAGCAAACCAACCGAGCCCTGCTACAGCGTCAATTCCAGCCCCTCACCACCGCTGCATCCCCCTCCACCTCCGCCTCACTCGACCTGGAGTCATCAGCCGCCCTGACTGCCGCCTCCAGCAACCACCACCACCACCTCCATGCGAAAGCCCTACGGCCGTCTCCAGATGCAGTATCGTCCGACACACACGTATCCGAAGAGGCGGATATAACCGCGCGGGATCTGGTAATACAGCTGTGTCGTACGACGGGATCCAGGCGGGTTTCGGAGCTGCTAGCGCGGTTGCTTGCGCAGCAGGAGTCGTACAAGGGGCTGCTGGAGATGCGGTCTCAGGCGGCGGCGCAGCGGCTGGCGCTGGTGCAGGAACTGGAGGTGGGGGCTGGAACAGCGGGGATAAGGAGGGAGGAACCACCTACTGTGACAGCAGGGAGGGTTGGGGGTTGAGAGTTGGGTTAGGGAAGCGGAAACGTCACGTCGGTATGAGTACTGTTATGGGCTTGGGGTGGTGCGAGAGGAGACGGGGGTATAACTGCTGGGATAAGCAGAGGGGTGGTGTTGTGTTTGTTACGTAATGCGGAGGCGTCTAGGGCGTGTCTCATTCCTCAATACCCCTTTCTCCGTCAATGCCACGGTCACGCCTCACCTCCTCCGCTCCTCCTGCATGCGCCCAGGTGTTGCGGTCGCACCGAGACGAGATGCGGGACGGCGGCAAGATGTCTACTCAGAAGCAAATGGACGCGGCGCAGGTGGGGCGCCTGACTGGGGCCGGGGCCGTGGGAATAGAGTGGGGTGGGTAGACGGGTGTTATGGGGCTAGGAGCGCAGGTTGGGCGTGTCGGAGGGGATGCTCGGCTTCCTGCTTGGCATTCTCGTCTTGCGACGGGACACGCCTGGGCCATGGCATATATCTCACTTTCCCCTCTTCTCCGCCCTCCCCCGCCTCAATAGGAGGAGCTCCGCGCTGCCACCGCCCGCGCCGAGGCCGCCTCCGAGGTGCTGGACTGCCTGCTGCGCGGCGTGGCGGCGGTGCGGGGCGGACTGGCGCACCTGGCGACCATGACGGCGCCGCTGCCGCTGCCGGCGGGGGCGGCGGCCGGCGGGCAGCCGCCGCTGCTGGCGCTGGCCGGGGCGTCAGGCGGGGGTGCGGGCGGCGGGGGTCAGCTGGAGGATGAGAGCCTGGGTGAGGTGCTGGCGCAGGTGGAGACGAGGCTGGTGGGCGCGTACCGACTGATCACGTCGCTGCCCAAGGCGGTGGACTTGTTGGAGTCGCAGTATGCGGCCATCAAGAACGAGTGAAGGAGGAACGTGAGGGAGGGACGTGGGAAGGGGGACTGGGGAAGGATAGAAAGGTAACGGGGAGGAGGGGGGGGAGTAAGGAGGGAGCAGGAAGGTGTGGGAAGTGGTAGCGCACATGTTGGGCGGTGTCGTCCTTTGAGGAGGTGGTGTTAGCAACCCCCACACTAGAAGGATAGTCAGGACTACTAGGAAGTTGGGTGGCGAGTAAGATGGGTGTGACTGCGCTAATAACAATTTTGGTAACACGCTTGGACATTAGTGGCATGTGCGACGGGCGCGTTCCGGACCACCGCATAGGTGGTTCATAGACTGCGGATGGCCATCGCATGGCATGGCTCATGTGTACTTCATGCGAATTAGGTTTGAAGTGGCGGTGTGATCCCTGACGGGACCCTAACTAGCGTCGGCTACAATACACGTCCTGGAAGGAAGGAGAGGATGATGGAGGCCACACAGCGTAGCAGCAGTAGCAGTAGCAAAGCGCCCGACTACTGCTTTAAGAGTTCTGCCTTGAAATGATTCTGGCGCGGATGGGATGCAAACTGTTGTACTATACCGTATGCACAAGGGCCCCATCAACCACCCATAGTACGTTACACCCCTGAGGGGGCTAGTGCAAGAAGGAGCGCTGTGCCTTAGAGCCTTACTCGGCATGCACCCGCGATGGACACCATCCGTGCACGTAAGAGAGTCGAACCCTTCACACACGTATACTGCTTGGTGTAATACGCGAGGGCCTGAAGTCACACCGGCATCGGAAATGCCTCCAGGCCTCGAAACAGAGGCCGCTATGTCCAACAACCAGGTGTCTTCCATAAAACGTGGTGCATGAGAGGTACGGCAACTGGCCGCCCCTTGCACCGTCCTCCTCAACCTCCACCTGTTGCACCTTCAGGAGGGATTAGGACCATCAACCTCACAGCAGCTGCAGTAGCAAAAGTCGCAGCACTACATTCAGATAAGCCGATATCGTAATTGTAGAGCAGCCACTAGGCAAGAGTTCGGCGAGCCAAACATCCCCCTCAACCTCCATGCGACCAATACAGAGCTTCGCTTGCGTTCGCATTTCCCACCTCAACTTAGCCGCAACCTCACGGGCAATGACGGCAAAGCGCGCACGCCTATTGAGCCCTAAAGCTCGGTCTGCACCTTCCAATCCCTTCCTGTACCCTGCCACTGTACCCCCTGTAACTGGCCCCCAGAAACAGCCCACGTGACCGGAAGCAGGTTCTGCCAGCTGAAGTGCAGGAACATGCAAGTATGCTCAGCCTCCAAACCCAGCCACTGAAACCCCTGCCGGAACTACCAGAAGCACCCGAACCTTAACACTCCAACCCACAGACGACAACCCCAGCGCGCCTCATCCGAGCCTACGTAGCGGCAAACGAGGCTTCACGGGGGCACTGTCCGTACAGTAACCACGGACCGCACTGCTCTAGAAGCCCTTGCTAACGGGCAGGTTTGCAATGAAGCCAAAGGGCTGCGGGTTATCCAGCGCCTGGTTGATGCGCTCCTCCAGCTCCTCATGTCGTATCCAATTCCGGCTGGCCTCCAGCAAGCGCTGGTACCTGCGTGTACAGGAGGTGTAAATGGGCGCAGCATATAGACCTCATAGTGGCAGACCACTGTAGGAGAACAAAATGGCCCGGGGATGCGGCTCGCTACAGAACAGGTGGCACGCGGGCGGCTGGATGGGGTGATGGGTAACGTGACCGTACCTCTCAGCGCGGGCCGCCTCGCGGCGCTGCAGAAGGTCCTGCCGACGAACCGCACGGCTCAGCTGTACTTGCGCCTGAATCACACAGGATGGTGAACACATATGTGTCATGTGAGCGGAGTCCGGCAAAGCTCATGCAGTTATGACCGGCTAAAAAATAACTTACAAGCTTATGGTCAAGCTCTGCTTTTTTAAGCTGCTCCGCGAGCGTCGCCATGTGCTTTTCCCTCAACAGCGCCTGCATCCGCTCCGCCTCCTCCCGGAGCTCATCGGCCTTCCGTCGCCGTTGAGCTGCAGCATCCTCATCGGGCGCATTTGCCCTTCGTTCCGCTCTCCAGCTGCTAATGAGGTTGTGAAGAGTGAGCCGATACTGCTTGCGTGCCTTCCAGTACTCAAAGTGGTCCGTAATACGTTTGGCACGCGTCTCATCCATAACATTTGACGTAAACACTTTTGAGCGAGTCTGTGTAACGCAGAGGCCTGGTAGCAAGGCGGACAGCACCGCAGCGGAGGGAATCGCTCGCTGCAAGCCCGCCTGCATTTTTACAATATGTGCTTACAAAGTTCGGGAATTGGGAATAACCTGCATAATTTACGCAATGCGTTTGTGACCAACTTCACTTGATGCACTCTTGCCGAGTTGCCGTGCATCCTAGTACTGTACGCATTCACCCGCTATACCCTGCATCACACCCAAGCCGATAGGGACGTCAATGGTTAACAACATATCCAGTTATGCTCAACGTAAGATTACTAGGTTCTCTGCGGTGGACCTGGCCATGTCACACTTATACCCATCGCACGACTATGATGCTTGACACACGAAGTGCGTGCGTATCCACAACCACCCCCTAGAGCAAATATATATCCCATTCAGCAGCCATCAAGGTCAACATGAGCAACTACACCTTCTCCTCCACCTGCAAAAACGGCATCCACCTGCACCAACCTGCAGCCCATGCACCCTGCAACAACACTTGACCCTCCCAACGACCTCTCCGCCTAAGATAGGCTTTTGGCGTCCTTGTGACGCGCGTGTGCTCCTTCTCTTATCTCGAGACAGACTCCCCTCTCTCTCCATTCCTAGCAACCTTCCTGATCTGCCATCTAGTTGACGGCCTCCCCTGCTGCAACATCAACTCCCGCTACCATCATTTCCGCTGCCCTCACCGCCGCTCACGCTTCCCGCCGAATCTGGCCGCTTCCTGGGCCCCGACCAGGACACAGTGGTCACCTGCGCAGTTCGGAAGGAGGTGCTGCTCCTCTGCGGACTGGGACCCCAAGAGGCTGGCCTAATTTCACCGCTCACACGCACGCTGCTGATGCTACCACTGCTGACGTCCCTCGGCTTCAACGCATCTGGAGATGCTCCTGACGCGCCCCTGCCGCTGCCATCGGCGGAGGCGGTCTCTGCACCTGTGCTTGCTGCGCCTGCAACCTCTCTAGCGTGAATTCCCTGCTCGGTACCTGTTGTAGCAACGCCGCTGGCGCCCATGCCGCCACTATCAGTGCTGCGGCCGGCGCCACGATATTTACTTCCACCATGACCACCAGGAGCGTTGCCTCCGTTGCCCCCGGCACCAGCACAGCTGCCGTCAGCTGTGTGAGCGAACCTCTGACGCAGGCTCTTGAAAACCGCCTTATGGTCGCCCCCAACCTGCCCCACCAAGTCCTCCATAGCACCCATATACGCCGCGTCGGCTCGGCTGTAGCTGCCATTGGTTCGGCGCCCGCCGTGGCTTTGGCTGCTGGCGCCGCCGCCGCTACCTCTGCTACTGCCACCCTCCCCGCTACCAGGTTTCTGCGGCATGTCGGCCGCATTCCGAGGGCTGCGTGCTGAGGCAGGTGTGGCGCCGGGCTGCTGCTGGCTGGCACGCAGTGGATGACCCGGTGGGCGCGGCGGGCTAATGGAAGGAGCAGCCGTTCGGAGGCGGGCGGGGCTGATGCTGGACGTGGCACCTCCGCCACTGCCTCTGCCGTTGCCGCCGGCGTCGCCGCCGCTGGAGCCTCTCCGTGCGAAGATGCCCGGGACTGGTCGTACGGCAGGCGCCACGGGGATGGGAGCGACGTCAACCGTTGCCACAGAAGCGGGCGGTACTTCGGGTATTGCGTCACTGGCATTGGATACGCGAGCGAGACGAGAGGGCGACGGCGCTGACGGACGGCCGCTTCCGCCGGCGCCGGCGCCGCTCGTGCTGCCTCCGGCGCCGCCACCGCTAGTCGTGGCGGCGGTTGTGACGACGCCAACGGGTGCCACAACGCCGAGGTCGGGCGCCGGAGGCAAGGCAATCGACGTAACGGAAGCCGTACGACGAGAGCTGTACGACATCTGGAAGGGATCCGCCGCCGCCAGGTTGGGGGAAGTGAAGAACATGTTCTGCGAGCCACTAGCGTCGTTGTCGGCATCCGTGGCCGACACGTCGGCTGCGTCAGCCAGGCTGGTACGGCTCACAGGGAACGACAGGTACGCACTGGGCTCGCCCAGGCTTGTACGGCTGACGGGAAATGACACGTACGTGCTAGGCGCCGTGGATTCCCCGGCGCTCAGATACTCGCTAGTCGGCGCAGAACCAGGCGTGCTAATGTTGTCCTGCGACTTGCTGTGGGTGCTGCTCGGACCACGGCTAACGCCGCCGCCGCCGCTGGCGCTGCCCGCGCCACCCAACGCGCTAACTCGTACGGCCCAGGTGCCGCCAAGCTCGATATCGCTGGAAACTGCGGTGTAAGCTTTCGCTGCGGACCCTTCCGCAGCGGCGGCGGCGGCGGCGGCGGCGGATCCGCTGCCGCCTTTCTCTCCGCCCTCCCCTGCCGCTGTTTCTGGCAGTGTGGGAACACCCATGAGCCACGCCGCCGTTGGTGACAGCGGTATCGCCTCGGGGTACGGTACGACGCCACCGATGGGGGGTTCCGGCGGTCGTGCTTGGCCCTCCGCTGCCGCCGCCGTTCCTGCCATCGTTGCTGCAGGCGCTGCGGACGCTGCTGCCGGCGGCGGCGCCGGCTCTTGCGTCGGCGGGCGCTCCTTCCTCGGTGCAGCCCAAGTGGACCCGGAGAAAAGCGGCTCACTCGCTGCTGCCATGACAGCAGCCGAGGGGAAGCTCAAGCTGGGTGGTGAAGGTACGACGGTAACGGTGGCGGAGGCGTCTTCTTCCTTAAGCGGCGGCGGTAGTTGCTTCGTCGCAGTTTGGGAAGGCCGCCGCGCCGGCTGCACCTCCGACGACACCCTCTGGAACAGCCTTGAGGATTGCGGCGAGGGCGCCGCCACCTCAGCTGCGGCGGACTCCTCCGCCTTTTTGGAATTAGGTGTTTCGTCGATGTGCGGCATGTCAGAAGAGTCGTACGACAGATGTCGGCTGTGTGTCCTCGGCGGTGTACTTTGTCTGCTGCCTGCGCCGCTGGTTCCGCCGCCGCCGCTCACCACGCTGGCGCTTTCATCCATGCCAGCTGACCTGGGGCTCCGAGCCGCACGCTCCTTCCGCGGTGTCCGCAACCGTTGAGGCGACGACAGCGGAATGATGAGCATGATGCGTTGCGGGGGAAACCAATTGACCGCAGGAGCGGCTGCAGCGGCCGTGCCGCCGCCGCCGCCGCTGTTGCCCCGATCACCAATGGAGCTTGTCGGCTGGGGAGACGCCGCCGCTACCACCTCCGTGCTTTCAAGCGCGGGCGATGCTGCGCTAGATGATGCGCTAGGCCGCGTGGGCGTAACGCCGCCACCGGCGCTACCAGCCCCACCACCTCCGTCAGCAGAATCCATCCAGGAAACGCGACGGCTGCCGGGCACTGCCGCTGTGGAGCCAGTGGGTGTACTGCCGCCGGCGCCAGCAACACCGGCGCTTCCGCCGCTGACGCCACCGTCAGCGGGATCCATCCACGACACGCGACGGCTCTCAGGCTGCGTTGGAGTGTTCACCTCCCGGCCGCCACCTCCACTGCCGGTGATAGACAGCGTCATGTGACCACCAGTTACCGACGCCTCTGACGCAGCAACCGCAGCTGCTGCTGCCGCAGCCGCGGCGGCGGAGGCCTCCGCAAGCACCTGCCGTACCGCCCCATGCTGCCGACTCTGCTCCTCCTCGTACTCCTCCCGGTCCCGGCGACGGCGCCTGCTGCGGCGCTGCTCGCCGCCATCCTCAACACCCTCCTCGCTGCCTTCACTGTCGTACAGCTCATTGAGCTGCCTGGATACGACTTGGGATACTTCCTCCATCTGACTGTCACCAACGGACGACTGGCCGGCAGCGGCTGCGGAGGTGGTGGTAGTGGCGGTGGTGGAGAGGGCGGCGGAGACGGCTAGGGGGTCGGCCCGACGGAGGCGGAGCTTCTGGCAGTAGGGGTGGTAGTCCGAGTGCGGCAGGTGCAGGAAGTCGCGGAATCGGGCGGCCTTGGAGGCAGCGTACCTGGGTTGGTGGGAGGGGAGGGATTACAACAGGATAAGAGGTCACGGCGGAAGAGAGGGAAGCAGACATGGCAGGACTTACGTACTGAATGTACCGTTATGGTTGCTGCAGCGTTGGTAGCTCTATTGCACGGCATATTGAGCCCAGTACGACTACTGTACCACCGGCCCGCCCTCCAACCCCATTCCTATCCCGGACAACTACCGGTAACTCCCCCAACGACTACAATGGCATCGCCAGCAGCAGTCTGCCGTACCTGATGGCCGCCTTCCTGCGGTGCGTCTGTCCCAGCACCAGTCCCAGCAGCCCCTTGGCGCCCTTCCTCGAGCCCCGCCGCATCAGAAACGCCAGGAACAGCGCATGTGCGCCGCAGCGGTAACCCGCAGGTACCGCAGAACCTGCAGCACCGGCCTCGCCGCCTGCCTCCATGAGCCCAGCGTCCGGCTCGTGCTCATGTTGGTGCATGTGGGTGCTCGCAGCAAGGGGCGCCCCGGTGTCGAAGGCGGCGAGGAAGGGCGCCAGCGGAGTTGACAGCAGGGGGTGCATGGTGGCTAGCGGCACGGGGCGGGTGATGGGCGGGTCGTACACCTCACCTGCGGGCGCAGCAGCAGCCGGGGCATTAGGCGTTACTTAGGGCGTTAAGTGCAGCAGTACGGGGCACGCCTCTCTCGTCTCTCTTGCGAATTTCATATGGCGTTCGCTACAAGGTAGGGTTGGCTTGAGCCAGTCTGTTTATTATCGAGACTCACACACAGTACGCCAAAGAAAGCAAAAACAGCCCATCTATAGCCGCCAAAGCTGCGAAACATGCGCGGACCCACCAAAGTGGTGTTCGTACAGGCGACGTGTCTCCGCAAAGGCCGCTCCTCCGTCTCCCAGCCTCAGTGCCCCGGCCGCGGGCGCCAGCAGCCGCCCCCCGCCCAGCAGGCGGCGGCAGGTGGCGCGGTAGGAGGCGGGCACTGCCATGTGCGCCACCCACATGAGGGCAATGTCCTGCAGACAGAGGCAGACGGAAGAAGGAACACCAGGCAGGCAGAAGGACATGTGAAGAGAAGACCGTGGGGGAGCGATTGCGGGAGGAGGAGCCGGTAGGCGGGAGGTGTGGGTGACGCGGTGGCTGGCACCCAGTTGGGCCGGCAGGCGGGCAGGTCGGTAGTCAGACAGGCAGGCAAGCAAGCAGGGTAGTACGAGTAGGGAGGGCTCCTTACCGTGGTCGGCACCAGGGGAACATTGGGGTACATGCTCTGCAGCATGAGGAAGCGACAATACCTGCGGAGGAAGGGTGCGGAAAAGGGCTTAACAAAAAGTGGAATAGAACACAAGGAAAACGTAAGCTAGAACGTTTGGAGGGTGCGGTATCCTCCCGTATGCATGCGACACTAGACTCTCATCCCGCATCCCAGCCCGGCAGTCCAGCCCTCTCCCAGCCCCCCTCCCCCTCCCCACCTCTGCACCGCCTGCGCCAGCACGTCCGGGTCCAGGTAGGCGGGTCGCAGCAGTGAGTGCAGCAGCGGACACAGCTCCGACATGCGGGGAGCCAGCCAGGCAGCCAGACGCCCGCGAACAGCCCCAACAGCAGCCCCAGCACCACCACCCGAGGCAGCACCAGTGCTAGTCATAGCGGCGGCGCCGCCGCCGCTGTCGGTGCTGCTGCGCAGGCCGCTCACGCCGGCGGCGTCCGCGGTCGGTGCCGGCCCGGGGTACGGCAGCGGCCAGCGTCCCGTCAGGTCCCAACGCGACCCTGGCGGCGCAGGAGGCCAGTACTGGCCGTGCACCGGGTCGAAGGCCGCAGCGCCGCCGCCGGCGTTACTGCTGCCGGTAGCGTTGGCAGAGACTGACCCAGCGCCACCGCCGCTGCCGCTATTCGGGCTCTTGCTGCCGCCGCCGCTGCTGCTGCCGCCAGCGCTACTGCTATTGCGGCTGCCAGCGCGCCGGGCCGTGCGAGGGGTGTTGCTGACGCTGCCGCCGCCGGCTATGGCTGCAAGCGCGGCAACGCTGCCGCCGCCAGCGTTGTTGTACAGGAACGCCGCGTCCCAGGCCTCTCTGCTGGCCCACGCCTGGCGCTGCTCGGGCGTTTCCCCCTGGGAGTAGGCGTGGGAGCCGGCGAAGCGGAAGGCCTGAGCTGGCGGCGCTTCCAGGGGCTGTGGGAGTTGGGAGGGAGTTGGGAGGGAGTCGGGAGGTAAGGCGGTGTAAGGTGTACAGGTCTCCATTGTGGCTTAGGGTTAACTCCTGGCAGCCGTGGCAGGACAGGACGATGGGAGCAACCCGCGTCCGCGGGCGGTGGCCCACATGAATGCTAACCGGTAAAGTAACTGCGGCAAGAGCGTAAACTCCGTGACCTGCGTAAACCGCGCCAACCCACCATGTCAACCAGCGCCTCGCAGTCCTCGTAGTACGACAAGGGGGCCATGCAGCGGTGCAGCAGCCAGGCAAGGGCCACATCCATGGGCGGCACCAGCAGGGACTTGCGGCCCACTGCTGCTGCCCGGGCTGCCAGCGGCAGCCAGAAGACCTCGTAGCGCAGGGCCGCTTGGGCTGCGTAGTGGCCCTCGTACAAACCACCTGGTGGGGAGAGGTGGCGGGGGTTGCATGGCGGCATGGCGGGGGGAAGTTAAGAGGTGCGACTTTAGAAACAGTCGGTGCGTGTGTGGGGAAAGAGCGGCACCCTGCTTACATGGTTGTTGGTTGGATAAACGGAACGCAGTGACGGTCATGTGAAAGGTCGTACGACCTGGATTTCGAAGCGAGGTGTTGAAGCTTCCCGCTTCCCAGGTTCAGCTACCGTACTTTTGACTTCCAACGGTTGGGCTGTTAGCCTAGTCGCTAGTAGGCCCTCCCTCCCTCCCTGCCTCATCTAGTGGCTGCGCCCCTTGCTTCGACCCCACCCCTTTCACTTCAGATGGTTCGGCCGAAGGCTAGGAGCTTCAAAGGGACCATTGTGCCGCCGCCTGGTAGCCTTTATGTTAGTGCCTTTTTCCTGGGTTGTCTGGCAGTGAGGGGGGGGCCTTTGCCTGGTCGTTGGGGTGTGCGCCCCTTCGGTGTGGGTATCCTGCCGTTCATCCACTGTGTTGCTTGGCGGTTAGCTCTCCTGTAGTGAAATGGCCCTTGCAACTGCACTCGACCGCCTTGGCGCTTTCCGCCCTTTTACTACAGCCTTAATCCGGGGCTTCTAGAGACAGATCATGGGAAACAGGATCAAAGAACCCCATGGTGTATCGGCTAGGTTGGAGGTGGAGGTTGAGGAGCGGGCCCAAAAGGCATAAGATGCTCAGGTTGCGAGCGCACGCAAGAGTGAGCGGTGAAATGTTCCCGACAGTTTACCCCAAGGCATGAAGCCCGCCCTCAGGGAGCGACTGTGACGTCTATGAGCCCGGTACGGGACATGTCCAAGCCATGGTAAGATGGTATGCAACACGGCTCCTGTGCGACTAGAATGCATACGCGGCACATGGCCGCTGAAACCCACACCTCGAGGAAAAGTATCGGCTGCATGGAGCAGCCGCACCAGCATTAAGGACCATTCGACCAGCTCCGCGGGCACAGAGTCCAACACCACCCAAAGCAGCTGCCGCACACGCGTTGCCAGGGCTTCAACGCCCGAAAAGTCGGTGTCCGAAGCCATTGCGGTTGCCTTAACAGCAATGAGGACAAGTACTTACGACCCAAGTGAAATTGCCATCATTATAGCTATCCTATAAGATTTCCATTACAGGCTTAGGTGATGTTTAATGTAAGGGTAGCTATAAAATCTGAAAAGTTGGGTTTGACCTAGGCTTGCAGCTTACGCTTGCAGCTTAGGAGTACATTCACAAACAGAGATAACAACTGATTTTTTAATATATGGTATTTATGTTGACATGCCAGGCTGGCCGAGTGTTGCTGAGACTGGTTGCGTTATCGGTGCGCGACTGCTCGTCAACGGCTTGTACACTACTGATCTGTAACCGATCTGCGAGGATGTCCGGGAGCATGGAAGCCAAAGCTACATAAACAAACAAATGCAAACAGAGCGTCCATCGCATAAAGAGAAATGTTGTCGACACTTGGATGTCGGCACCGTATACAAATGCAGCCTGTGTATGCTTGCCGTGCTGAGGGCGATCACCCTCCGCCAGAAGATGCGTAATTAAAGAAAGCCCGAACATTGCGGGACCATAAAAGTGTATACAAGTGAAGCGTCCATGAAGCGTTACATCGTAACCCCTGCCCACTGTAGCACGCCGTTGGGGGTTACTCCGGGGCGACCGATGCAATCCTTCAATCATTGCTCTTTACACATGCGCCTCTGGGCAAGTCACCTTCCAAATTGTTGATAAGCCTGAAACGCATTAACAATCCTGTCGTACGTGCTGTTCAATACTTGTGGTTTCTTCAGTCAGCCATTGTCTGCAGTGGTCTACATGCAAGGGCAGCCTGGTAAGCTTCCAGACGGCATGGGCAAATGAATTAACATTTTTTCCGATGTGGATCGAGTACGGCAGATACCGCCGACACAAACCCGGCCAGGTCCTGTACATTCCTACGCAATTCCGATGTAGCACCTCCCAACGTGCCAAGTAACGTGCCACGACGACAAATGTCCACACCACGACTCGAACCCGGAAAGAGAGCAAAAAACCCCGCCATGCGGTCAGTTGTCATTGCCGGTATATGACACGGCCACACTCCTCAAGCAATGTAACACGCTGGCCCATACATTCTTCTTCATTCATTGCTTGCATGCCTTGAACCGTGACATGTTGGTAACAGTAATATCTCAGACCCGTTTCCATGCTTGTGCTCCACGACGCGCCGATACGTGGTGCTTACGGCGCGTAAGCCTATGTACCAATAACATGTCTCCTCAACTCTTCCAACCTGACACCGCAATGCTTTATCTTCACAGCCAGTCCGCAATTACGAACAGCACCCACACAGTCGTCGGATTTCATCTATAAGAGACATGCCATCCCTGCCTAGCTCCGAACTCGACACACCGCTCAGGCCAGGTTCGGCGTAAGCAGCCCCCTCACGTTCCCGCTAACGGCCCACCTAGCAAAGCATGAATGCACGACCTTGCTTAGCGGCCGGCATGTCCAATTCACCCCAAAACCCTTAGTGCGGCTGGCCTAACCCGGCCATGCCGCCACCCCCTGCAATCCCCGCTCCAGCCGCGCTCAAGGCCGCCAGTGCCGCCGCAGCAGCAGCGGGTGGCAGCCCCTGCAGGCTCTGCTGTAGCTGCTGCAAGCTCTGCTGTCCGGGCTGCAACCCCTGCTGCTGCAGCTGCTGCAAGGGGTTCAAGCCACCGCCCGGAGCAGCCCCGCCACCGCTGGCAGCCGTAAACGCCGCCAGCGCTGCCGCCGCCGCCGCAGGGGGCAGCCCCTGAAGGCTTTGCTGCAGCTGCTGCAGCCCCTGCGGCCCCGGCTGTAACCCTTGTTGCTGCAACCCTTGTAGCTGCTGGCTGGCAGCGCCGTGACCCATGGGTCCAGGCGGACCCATGCCTCCAGCCAGCTGCTGCTGCGCTCGGGTCCGGCGAGTGTCCCTCAGCTGGGAGCGTTGCTCGTCCAGGTTTCGGCGCGTGTTCTCCAGCTGCCCCCGCTCGCTGTCCAGCGCCTGCTCCACATCCTCCAAGTACTTGATCTTGAGCCCCAGCTTCTGCACCTGCACCTCCACGATCTGCCCCATGATCTCCAACATGTCCTGCTCCTGCTCGTCAGCTAGCATTCGTGCGCGAGCCGCCGCCGCCGCGAGGCCAGCAGCCGCCGCCGCCTTGAGCCGCGCCGCCGTTAGCGTCACAGATGACGGCTCCGGCGCTTCCGGAGGCCCCTCCGCCTCCGCCGGCAATGCCTCAGCGGCGGCAGCGGTCCCAGCATCCGCACCGGCTGCCGACGGCTCGGCAGGAGCAGCTGCTGCGGGAGCGGCGGCGGCGGCGGCGGCGGCAGGGACAGGGGCAGGCCCTTCCTGCCCGCCGCCGGCACCGCTATCCACATCCATGGCGGCCGCGCCGCCACCGCCGCCACCGCCGCCGCTGGCGGCTACAGCTGCATCTGGGGCAGGTGCGCCCGAGGCTGTCGTACCTGCCTGCGCTGGAGGAGCATCCGCAGCGCCGGGCGCATCAGCGGTGGCTGGGGCAGCGGAGGTAGCAGCGGAACCTGCTTCGACGGAGGAAGCCACCGCTGGCGGTGCCTCGGTCGCCGCGGCCGGGGCGTCCGCCGCCGCTGCCGGTTGCTGCTGCTCCTGTGTCTCCTTCTGTCCCTCCTCCGCTGCCGCAGGAGCTGCCCCCCCGGAAGCGTCCGCTGCAGCTGTTGTTGTCGCTGCGGCCGCCGCCGGTGTGGCGGCACCCCCGGCGGCTGGCTTCGGCGCCGCCGGCTTTGCCGTCCCCTTGGCGCGAGGAACAGCGGGGGCTCCCTCAGCAGCTGCTGTACCCGCGCCCGCAGCCGCCGGATCCTCCTCTGACAGCACCTGTTGGGGCAATTAGCAATGTGCAGCAGCCAGGGATGCGTTAGGCATGGCCGTGAGGCCAGTTGCTGCACCCGTCCTTGACTCTCCAAAACAGGGTCCCCTATCCCCCAACCCACCCCCAACCCACACCAACCCACTTTGAACCCCCAAACCCAAGCCCTGCACATGCCCCACCTCCAGCGCCCGCTGCGCCGCAGCCGCCGCCACACGGGGCCCTATGAGCGTCGACAGAAACGCGAGCAGCGCCATCACCGGGTTGGCCGCCTCCGTGAAGGGAACCAAATCCACATCATGTACGTTGTTAGTCAGCACAAAGCCGCCCGACTGCTGCTGCTGCTGCTCCGCGCCTTGCTGCTTGGCGGCGGCCGCCGCACGCGCCGCCGCGGCCTGCTGTTGCTGCTGCAGTCGCAGTCCGCCAGTGGTGGGCGGTGCGGCGGGCGGCACGGGCCCTGCTCGCGGCCCCGTGCCCGCCTCCATGTCGTCCAGGAAGGCGTCCTCGATGGGCAGCTGCAGGAAGTGTAGGATGCAGGACACCTGGCGAGATGAGGGGGAGGAGGAGGGGGATGAGAAAGGGTCGGGGTTTGGAAGAGAACTTTGAGGGTGCATGAAGGGTGCGGAACGAAGGTGTGTCCACCCTCCTCCTCACCTGACGCCTTATCACACGGTTCGTTAGTCGCTTCCTCTTTACCCTCCTCCCCGCACCCGCCCCCGCCCCCACCTGGTTCTTGCTGCCCACGTGGTCGGCCACCGCCGCCCAGTCGTCCCCGAACAGCTCCAGCCCCTCCAGCAGCAGCAGCGTCTCCTGCTGCGACCAGGAGCCCTGCAGGGGGGAGTCAGAAGCCAGTACATGTAGGCAGGCAGGAGAGGCAGACAGACCGGAGAAGTGGGGTCAGGACAGGAGGAGCAGCATGCGCGGAAAGCATTCACTCTTTGATGATGTAAGCGCAAAGTAAACAGTCAGGGGAAGACGAGCATACCCCTGAAGTCTATCATGACGGCCTGGCAATAGGATGCTTGTCACCGTATTCGATTCCATAGCATACGCGTTAAGACGCCTCCCCACACGACCCCTCACATGACGCCCACCTCCGCTGCCGGCGCGCCGTGCGGCGGCCCCACAGCCACGCCCACCGCCCCCACCGCCGCCGCCGCCAGCCCGGCGGAGTGCTTGGCGGTGGCGTCCACCCGCACAAAGTCCCGGGCGTTGGTTCCGGGCGGGAAGCGCCCCTCCGCGAAGGCCTCGGGGCACAGATCGATGTCCGGGAACTTGGTGCAGTGGTAGCTGGTGGGGGGGGGGGGGGTCAGGAGCGGGTGGGAGGTGGGTGGGAGATATACCGGTACCAAAACCACAGGTTAGGGCAAAGCAATGGGGATGGAGGGAAGCAGTTTATGGGGGTGCATTGGTGGGTAGCAGGTAGGATATGCAAGTGAAGGAGGGCTGGAGAAGAGGAAAGGTAGCGAGGACGAAGCAGGGAAGCCACATGCAAACCACATTGGAGGGCTGCTGAAGATAATGGACCCGAGGAACTTCCCATACAAAAACTCTCCTTCTCCGGACCCTCTGCGGCTGCTTCCCTCTTCCCGCTTCACAGCTCACCGCAAGTCCGTACAGTCCACCCAGGGCATAGCGCTGCAGTAAAACCGAGGCCGGCTGCCGGGGGGGTCCCCCGCCGCGCGGTTCAACACGTGCTGTGTACGAGCACCGCGACCCGACAAGTGTACGGCACCGGTGGCGCCGCCACTGGTGGCCGCGGCGGCGGCGTCGGCGACGCTCGGCCGTTGGAAGTTGAAGAGGGCCGCCGCGCCTGGCAGCGTAGCCGCGGTTGCTGCGTTGACTCGTACGACGTTGAGGGTCGAGGGGGGACCTAGGGCTAGGGTGAGCTGGTTGGGGCCGTCGCTGCCGCCGCCGCCACCGCGTTGCCAGGGCACGTCGGTTGCTGAGAAGTTGATGACACCCCAGTAATCCAGGAATGTCCACACCCTGTGCGGGCGGAGTGGAAGGAAGGATGCGACCGGGTTTAGGAGTGACAGGTGATAAAGAGGATTAGTAGAGCACCAGAAACAGAGGTTGTAGGGCGAGGCGTACCTCCTGCTGTATGAGAAACTATCGCTACCCACCCACTACCCTCCCATGGCGCCCGTCATAAGTCCCATAACCGCGTGCAGGACACCCGCTTCAACCCACCGCTGCTCCTGCTGCTGCTGCCCGCTCGTTCACGTTGCGCCCCCCCAGAGCACCCCACCCCCCCGCCCTCACACCCCCCCACCTGTGTATGGCGGTGACGTCCCCCTGCAGGCGGCTGCGTGCCTCCGTGAAGGTGAGGCGGCGCGAGGTGTCCTCCCTGTACATGGACACCAGCGCCGCGCGGTAGTGCATGTACACCTGTGCGGCAGGGGGGGAGCGACGCATGAATCCCATGTCCCGGCCCATGCAGTGAGCGCAACAGGAGGGGTGAGTGCGATGGTGGGTTCGCGGCTCAAGTCACCCCAATCGGTCACTGCCCGCTCACCTCCTTCCCCGATTCCTTGCTGAAACCCCCTCTCCAGCAGTGCCTCCCCCCTCCCTACCTCGCGGTTCCTGAAGGGCGAGATGGTGTCGAAGAAGTCCGACAGGTACAGCCGCTCTATCTCGTGGATGGCATTCAGGCTGAACCAGGAGCTGCAGGAGGGGACGACGTGGGGCTCCTTCTTGGGCGGCAGGGGAGGGGCGGGGGCGGCAGGGGCGGGGGGGCCGCTGGCGGCGCCTGCAGGGGCACCTCCTGCGGCAGGAGCTGCGGCTGGGGCAGCAGGAGCTGCGGCGGCTGCGGGAGCTGTTGTGCCGTGCGGTGGTTGTTGCGGCCGGGGAGGTTGCGGCAGGACGACGCCGGGCGGTGGGGGCGCCTGGGGTGCGCTGGGGGGAGCGCCGGGCGGAGGGGCGAGCTGGCCCTGCAAAGCAGTAGGGGGTGTGAAAAGGTATGCGGTAAGGCATGCATGGACATGGCTGTTTCAAGTGCCGTGAAAGGTACGGTAAGGTTAAGACGGCCAGGGTACTCATAGCGACTTTGGTAAAAGGGTACACGTCCATTTGGGGAAAAAGCGTTTGCTTGTTGGTTGCCGGCTACATAAGCTACGTATAGCGAGACCAGCTGGCAAGTACAACACAACACCCACCCACACTGTTTACCTGGGAAATGTTCTCCACATGAGCCGCGGGATCTATCGCCGGTTTCGTTGGATCCAGCACCCTCTGCCGTACGGCATTAACAGCTATCCGTACACCCTGACCCTCCACCACCTCAGGCTTCGTGTACGTATCCGCGCGCTGCCGCTTGGCAGCCGGGCCGTCGTCCTTATGGGCTGCTGCCGCCGCCGCCGCAGCGCGTGCTGCGGCTGCGGCACGTGCAGCGCCACGCTGCGAGCCCGGGAGCGGAGCCGTCGGCAGGGGTGCGGACGGCACCGGAGCCGACGGCGCAGCAGGCGCGGCGCCGGCAGCCGCAGGAGGAGCCCCGGCCCCGGGTGCAGGAGGCCTTATGGGTTGTAGCCCCGGTGCTTGTTGCGCTAGACCAAACCCCGGAGGAGGCATGGCTCCAGGCATCCCCGGTGGCCTCGCCGCTGCAGCCCCTGCTACTGCGGCCTGCTGGTGGGGTAGCTGCAACTGATGGGGCAGTTGGAGTTGGTGCGGTGGGGGTTGCTGTGTTTGCTGCAAGGTCAGCTGACCCCAGCCTGCTTGTTGCATTTGCTGTGATGGTGGTGGTTGTGGAGTTGGTTGGGGTTGGAGTTGCGACGGTGGCTGCAGCTGTAGCTGCTGCGGAGGCGGCAGTTGGGGTTGTTGTTGCTGCTGGGGTGGCTGCGGCTGTGGCTGCGGCTGGGGTGGCTGTGGCTGCTGCTGTTGGGACCTGCGGGGAGTAGAAACGAATGAGGGTGAAGCAACAGAGGGGGTGACACAAGTCATGAAAAGGCCAGGGCAGCCCGAAAAGGCCCCAAGCAAAGCACAAGAGCTCCACGCTCCACGCAACGCTCTGTATACCCACGTCACCCTGTACACCTAAAAACGCCTTGCCATTACCACACCCCCAGCTGCAACCCCAGAGCTGCACGCCCCTGTGTGTTTCGCCCTGCCCACATGACACCTACCCCATGCCGACGGAAGCCGACGGACCAGCTGCGCCCCCAGCGGCTCCCGCTCCAGTGCTACCGCCTCCTGCACCTCCACCCACACCTCCGCTCGCTCCCAAGCCCAGTGCGGCACCGCCGGCCTGCTGGTGACCCCCCGGCAGCGGTGCCATCACAACCGCAGGGGCGGGCGCCGCTGCAGCAGCTCCCGGCAGTGGCGCCTGCTGTGCCAGCTGGGGCTGCTGCTGGGGCATCGGCGGTTGCTGGGGTGTCAGCTGCGGTTGCTGATGTGGGGGCTGCAGCTGCAGTTGCTGCTGCTGCTGCGGTTGAGGCTGCCGCTGCGGGTAGGGTGGCTGCTGTTGGGGCTGTGGCTGCTGGGGCGTGTCGGCCTCATAGTCCTCCGGGTTCATCCACTCGTTGTACAGCTCGCTGTCCCTCACCCAGCGGGGGTACACCTTGAGGGCAGCAATTTGGTGGGGAGGTGAGCGGGATTACCACCGGCATTGGCGGGAAGAAGCGCCAGCGTGCTTGCTTAGCGCGGAGCGCTACGTTGCAGTTTTGCAATGTAACGCATGCGAGAACATCAGTGCATCACGCCCATGCATCACCCCCGTTCGTGCATTTACCAAAAGCCTAACTGCAACCATCTGCACCTGCGTGCCTACCAGGATCATCCACACACACACGGGTAGGTAGGTTTGATTTCCTCTGTTTTACCTCTGTTTTGCTTGTACTTGCGGTTCACATGCGAACCTATCCCAAATGCTTGCTCTTGTTTCCGCTCAACTACACACACGGGTACGGCATGCGCATACCCGCACCCCACCCCTCACCCTCCAGGGTCTGCTGCGCTCCGCAGGGGGCGGCGGCCGAGGCGGCGGCGCATGCCGTGCCAGCACCCACTCATCGTAGCTGTCCGGCAGCTGCGTCCAGTGCACCAGGGCCATGTCGCCCCTGCAGCCCCCGCGGACACAAAGTAGGAGGGTGAAAAGTAGGTGGACACAATCGTGACGATGATATAGTAGTGGTGCTTTGCCTTTGCGACAATCGCGACGCCTGGTAGAGCTGGGGCAAACGGAAGGGTGGTACTTTTCCTCCGCGACATCTCGCCCGCGATGCCCCGAACCCCGAACCCCAACCCGCATGCAACCCGCACGCCCACACTCACCGGACCTCCAGGGTTCGCATCTGCTGGGGCTTGCCGCGGCCCGCATCACTGACGCCGGGTGGCGGCGCGCAGATGCGGTGGGTGACCCTTGGGTCATCTGAGGGCATGCGCCAAGAAATAAATTACAACAAAGCGACACTCTCGCCCTGCGGCAATTTCGCGCGCCCTTTCTGCTTCAGCTTTGACCTCCGCTATCCCTCCTTGCCATCCGGGCTGTCGTCGCCTTGCCTCACCCTCTTCCTCCCCCACCCCCTTCCCGCCCCCCTCAACCCCTTCTCGCCCCCCTCACCCGGGCTGTCCGCCACGCTGCCGCCCATCTTCCTGGCCGCATCCGCCAGCCTGCACGCCGCCTCCGCACCCAGCCCGCCCTCCAGCCCCAGCACCGGGTGCCGCAGCAGCCCCTCCTGCTCCAGCTCCCGAGTGATGCCCAGCAGGATCTCCATGTTCTGGAACGCGGGGCAGCCGGCCGAACAGCCGAACAACAGAACGGGGAGGAGGGTGGGGTAGGCGGTAGCGAGCTCACGCATGCCACGTGTCCCGCAACCTTCACCCTTCACCCAATCTTCATGTCCCATGCGATAGGTGATACCAACTTGCCAGCCACACAGCCGTCGTCATTCCCCCACCGTCCTTCACACCCCCGCGAGGTGCACCCCACCTCCTTGCGCTTGGCCGGGTTGGCCCAGTCGATGCGGCGGAGGTCGCGGGCCGCCATGATGTCATCGCACTTGGCCGCGATGACGTACAGCGCACCCCGGGGGCTGGTGTCGCGGAGGAGGGAGGCGGGCAGCTTGGGCTGCCGCTTGAAGTTTGACTGTGGGGGAGAAGAGAAGGGGGAGGAGCACGAGGAGGATAGCAGGTTGGAGGAGGGGGTAGGAGGATGGGCAGGAGAAGAGCGGTCCTGGCGGCCCTAGCTGTTTATCGTGCTAGGTGCCGGCATGTAAGAGATAAGGGACAAGGGCAGCTTTCCTGCACGCCTGTCACGCCAGCCCTTTCCCGGGTGGTTGTGTGGCCATGCCTGTCCGCACCTCTTTTCCAAGCGTATCCTCCTGGAACTGCATGAGCTGAGCAACGAGCGTTGCCAGCTTCTTGGCGTCGAAGCCAGCCTACAGCAGAATGCCATGTGTTACAATGGATCTGAAGCCTTTGCCGGCAATGGCCGGAACATAATTACGATCCACTTAGCTACAACTTGCTTCACCCACATCGGGCAATTCCTCCTCCAGTTGCTGGACGACAGGCTCCAGCTTCTCAAGATACTCTGCATCCTGTGGCCCCAAGGCCAGCAGCAACATTGATGCGCAGTAGTGTAAGAGACCGCTCGAAAATAGATCTACTTCATGCCTTTGCCATAGGCCGACCCTCTTGCAGTTGGCGCACCTCGTAATCTTTGGTCAAGACCTTGCCACTTCGTTTCCCTATCATCACATCCATGGTGACTGCTTTTCGTAAAGTCAAGGCAGGGTGACGTTATAGTATATGATGGCAGAGGTTCCTACATATCGCCGTCGTTCGTATGGACGTGGCCGAGACGCAGAGGGCGTTAAATTGTTGCAGGTACCTTGCTGCTATTAAAAGCAAATCAATCGCCGTGATTGTAGTCCAACGCCATGGCGCCAAATATTAGGTTGTACGGCGTCGTTGGAAGCCCGCACGACGATTCAGGATTGGTGAGAGCAATTTGCTATTGTTTACGCTTGTTAAGGAAAAGGGTCATTGCAACGCCAAAGGTCGTTTGCAACGGGGCCGGGGCCTCCAGTTCTGACGCATACATAAGGGGCCGACACAGGCACGTAAGGCTAAGCGGGGGAAGCTTACATGCCTGTAAGGCGCATGCGTGCGTCATTACGGATGACATGGGCATGGAAAAAAAGCGAATACGCCGACATTATTGAGCGCAACAATGTAACACCCATCCATCAGGTCCCTTGGTGCCGCCCCTCCCTAGCAAGCTTTCTAGCAGCGCAGTGCGCTTCAGCTTAACATGTTGGGCCATACATGATGGGCCATGGTAGCAATGGGGTGTAGCTACAACATAGCCGGACGTCCCCAATACCTTCTACGTGCTTGGCACATGCCACACATTATGCAGGAACTGAGTACCGCACTAGCAGCACTACCAAGATCCCAATCTCTTTATGACGACTTAATCCTTATCCGCCGCCATGCCTCGGGCATGCCTGGCTGCGATTCGCCCGGCAGCACTTCCCGCATAGCAGCAACGGGCAGGCGCACGCAGCGATGTTCCCGCACACGCACACACAGACTGCGCCCGGAGCCTCCAACGCAGCCCTCCGCTTGGGCAACCCCGCAAGCACCTCCGTTCGCCGCATCGCATCCGTAGACTCCTCCGTTATAACTACCCGCTGCTCTTGTTGTTGCTGCTGCTGCAGCAGCAGCCGTCGTTCTTCCCCAGCCAGTCGCCGGAGCTCTTGGAGCCTAAACAAGCAACCCCGCCGCGCCGCAAGCAGCTCTGTCGTACTGCCGTACACCGCACACAGCACCCGGCGCGTCGCCGCCAGCGTCGGCTGCACCAGCGCCTGAGTCGCCACCTCGTCCCCTGCCTCCACCATATCCCTCAGTGCCGCCGCAACCGTTACGTTCAACAGTACGGCAACCCTTCTTCTCTGACCCCCGCCGTGGTGCTGCCCCTGCTGCGAGTCCTGCACCTCCTCTGCCCGCTCCTGCAGCAGTGCAATCCACAGGCGCGCAGGTACAGGTGCTGCCCGCCAGCCCGCCTCCCCGTCCGCTAGTCCGAAGTGCCCTAGGACCAGTCGGATGAGCGTGCCTTTGCTGGGAGCGCCACCTGAGGGCGTCGAGGTAGTCGGCTGCAAGTGCGAAGGAGGAGACGGCGGCGGCCGCCCCATGACGAGTGGCTTCCCTTCCTGCTGCTGCTGTTGCTGCTGCTGCTCCTCCGGCGGGCTGAGACCCAGCTGCTCCGCCGCCCACCTGAGCTCCCGCTCGGAGCAGCTCTCAGGATGCCGCAGCAGCCCGTCCCACCACGACCAGCAGCGCCTCTCCGGACTCCTGGCCGCCTCCTCTTCCTCCTCCTTTGGTGCCGATCCTGCACGACCCTGCCTCTTGCCACCTCCTGCATCCTTCATTTGCTGTTCCGTACGTTGCTCCTCCTCTCGTTGCCTTTGCTGGGGCTGCTCCTCCGGTTGCCGCCTGTGCTGCTGCTGCTGCTGCGAAGACCCAGGTACCGGCAGCCCCTCAGGCGACGGCCCCGCTGACAGCCCGGGGAATGACAGTGACGTCGGCGGGGATGTCGGCAGCAACCCAGCAGGCAGCGGCCACACACCCAGTCGCACGGGTGCCAGTTCCGCCAGTGTCAGCAGGCCTGCCCAGGCGGCTGCGCGCGCGGCCTTGCACACCCCTGCGGTCCGCGCGATGTCCGCCGCCACCGCATCGGGCCCTCGGAGGCAGCCCGGGGGCTCCAGGGAGGCGGCCAGCTGGCGGAAAATGGCTGCCCATAGGTCCTGGAATAGGAGAGGAGGCGTGGGGTACAAGAAGGATGGGAAAGAACTCCCTTTCATCCGAACTCTAGAGGACCCCCAAAGGCCCTGACACACCACACCTGTGGCAGGGACATGGCGGGTACGATTGGAAATCCAGATGAGCTGGATTCACCGGCTGGAACAGCATGTGCCGTACTGCATGCGTGATAAGTTCCTGGGGGCTCCTGTCCTGCACCTGGGCATTGTGCAGCCCGTAAGCGTCTGCGCTTTCGCTGGAACTGGGACGTTGTGCTGCCAGGATCTGTAGCTGATGCAGTTCCTTGCGAGCTTTCTGGCGCCATTGCTGAATTCGCCTCAAGACGCTTGGCAGTTGCGGCAGCCTACATGGAGCCTGGATGGACCCGTGGGATGCATATCCTTAGCTATCGCCAGGAGGGGCAGCCCGTAGCCTGAGAGCAAACGTCAAGTCACGAGTTTAAGGATAATGCTCCTCGCTGTCCAACCGGAAGTGATTTCTGTACCGGTATGCTGTCAATGGTAGTCACGTATCTAACTGTTAAAAGTGAAGGTAATTAAAGAAACAAGTGTAAAGAGCCTTTGCTTACCTGTAAACTACGTGGAACACGCGTAAGCGGCAAAGCGGGAAAGCCCACGTGTAACGCCGACGTGGATCCGCATGTACGGAAACTTTTGGAGATAACTAGGGTAAAATGGCCCAGAGCTTGTTTTCCGGATAAAGAACCTACTAACAACCGCGTCTCTCACGATTGCAGCAGTTACTTGTTGCACTGACTAGGCCTCTGTTCCTCTGCTGCCGCTTTATTGCAAATTAGCTGGCAACCCAAAACGTTGTTAGTCCTTAGGAAGTAGCCGTTCTCTGCTTGAAAATTCCTGACAACGGGGCTGCTTTTGCACTTTTTGCAACAACGGTTACATGCTGCTCGGACAGAAAAGGGCCATCGCGGCCCCAGTAGTGAAACCAGAGGGAAAACAACACAGCACACATGCTACGTCTCTAGCGCCTTGTGGGCCTCGCGGGTCATCTTGCTTGGCAAGGGCTCGCGTCGGCATCAGCTTAGAGACTCACGCTGACATATCAATTGGGCGTCACAAGCCCATCTACAAGAATGCTAACTTCCCGACTGATGCAGAAGGGCGGACATACCACCTTGGGACAAAGGCAAGTGACCGTCGTGTCAGCTCACGTGTTAATAAGGATGCGAGTTGGCTAGGGCTTACAACCTTTCCCCTTGCCTCCCTTCATTATTTAGGAGGGCGAAGTAGCACCGCGCATTCTCAGCGTGGGGTCGGTCAGTCGAGCTCAACTGCTTAGTACGCTGTTGGACGCGCCCGCCCCCGGTAAACCGCTGTTCCAGCGGACTTCCAGCCGAGGATTCCTTACGATAACAGGTGAGCTTGCTCCGTTTCCGCAGTAACCGTTTGGGGCTTGTTGTTCGGGCGGCAACCTTTAGGAAGAGGTGCATATCGGTATCCTAGGTTGAGTCGCGGGGACTTCACGGGTTTCTGACAGGTCGACGGTCGTGACCACCTTTTGAGCCCATAGCTACGCATTGCATTCATCGGCCCTACAATTTCACATCTGCGGTAATAGAGGATTTGAAGCTCGCGTATGAAAACCAATTCTGTCAAGTATATACTGTCTGTTGTGCAGTATATACAGGTGCCTAGAACAAAACAAACGGCCATCCCCTCCGGCTCGTCCTCCTTCCCTTTCCTTATATTGCAGGCCTCTATGAGGGCCAGCCCGTTAGCATTGTCAGCACGCACATGGGCATGCCAAACATGGACTTTGTCGTACGCGAGAACAGGGCTGTCGTACGTGGCCAGATGGCCATTGTACGGCTGGGCACGTGCGGTGCCGTACAACGACCCGCCAAGCTCGGTGACCTGCTCATCGCCAGCCATGGATCCATCTCAATCCGCCGTGACCCAGATTACTGGTCGCTACTCGAATCCGCGTCACACCACCACACAGCTGGAAACGGCGACAGCAACTGCGCCAGCTGCAACAACAACAGCAGCAACATGAATGGTCTCGCAGTGCATGCAAGCATCAACACCAACGGTGCAACCGCCGGGACAAACGGGCAGACGCACGGTGCCGGCAGCAACAGCAGCAACTGCATGATAGGACGCAAGCCCTACACAGTCGCCATGCGGGTGCCCGCTGACGCCCAGCTTGCAGCGCTGCTAGCTGCCGAGGCGGAGCGGGTGGTGGGGGCGGAGCGGGTGGTGCACGGCCTCAACGCCAGTGCGGACAGCTTCTACAGCAGCCAGGTGCGCGTGCAGCAGAGGGCATGCGACGTGCTGCTGAGATGCATGTTGGTATACACTGTCGTTAACCTTTTCATCTTGTCATGCTATGATCCGTACTTGAGTGCAGCATGTCGTACCCCTATCCATTTCGACCGCTCCATTCCCACCTCTTCTCGTTTCATCCTTTCCGTCACACCCTCTTTCCCTCATACCTAGGATCCCCACACACCCCTCCCCTCTGCCCCCCGCCTGCCCGCTCCTGCCCGCTCCCCCATCAGGGCCGCACCGGTTCCGACTTCGACGACCGCAACGAGGGCCTGCTGGGCGAGCTGGTGGCGGCGCACCCCGACCTGGTGTCGCTGGAGATGGAGACGTTCCAGCTGCTGGACCTGGCCAGATGCAGCAGGGGTGGGTGCGGGGGGATGGCGGGGCGGGGGAAGGGCTGGGCGGCTGGATGGCTGCTGGGTAGAGCGGACGGTAGGTCCTCGATATCCTGGAATCACGCGGACATAGTGTTTTTTTGGGTGGGTGGTGGGTGCGCTGGGCTTGTCCTTAGCTGCCCATCCCATGGGGCGGTATCAGTAGCAACTGTGTTCTCTTGCACATGTCGTTACAACGACAACCTGCCTTGCGACTGACCCATGGGTCTCTCCCTCCCGTTCCTTCGCCTCACTTCCCAGGCTCCATTAAGGCCATCGGCATGTGCGTGGCACTGGCGGAGCGCTACTCCAACGCCTTCCTGGAGTACAGCAAACTGGAGGAGCTGGAGATCTCGGGCGGTACGGCAGCGCTACGGGCGCTCGTACGGCTACCGTTGGATGCCAACCTGGCGTCTGCGTCGGTTGCAACTCGTACGACAGACGAGGGGGCGGGAACGGCGAGCATGGAGGAGCGGAGGGTGCAGTACGTTTGGGAGTGAGGTGGAGTAGCGAAGATTTGAAAGGAAAGCTAGACACCTGCCGGCGTGACGGCGAGGTATGGGTTGTTGCGACTGTGTACTGGAAGAGGGGAATGCGAGGAGTAACCCGGCCAAGGGTTCCGCACCGTTGTTCGTGCGGGTGTTTTCCCTCGTTCTTGTTCTTGTCTATGGAATGGGTTAGTAGTAATATGGCAAGCAGAGGCCAGGCAGTGGCAAGGGATGGCAGGAGAGGATTTTGAGGGCGCCGTCTTCGCCATCATCAACAACATCGCCACCTGGCTGGTAGCTAGGGTAGCTGAAGTAGCGGGGGGAGACGCGGCTTGTTACTTGCACTTGTCGGCGCAATGTATTGGTATTATGGAATGCCATGTTAGCGTGTTGGGAGATCATCGAGGGCAGCCATGCTATTGCGTTTTATTGACATGTCGATTGTTACTTGGAGCTTGGAGGTTGTAAAGTTGCGGGTGGTTAGCTGGCTTATTGTGCTCCCGCGACGCGTTACTGTTTTTAGTTTCATGGATAAGTCGGGGGATGTCTTATTGCGTATGGTTGTGAGAGACTGTGAGAGGGTGCCTTACCTCTCAGGAGCTGCCAGGATATGCGGGGCCGCAAGACCGAAAGGTTTGGTTTGCACTTCATTTCCATGTTGCTGCCGTAACAGACGGGCAATAACCCTGTATAACTGATGCTACAATATGGGTTTCGTTTGTTTGCTTGCTTATTTTCTTGCTGTGTAGGATGATGCTTTTCCCTCTGCTATGTTCCAAGCCCAGATGAAGCAAAAGATCACCGTGCCGCATGTACGAAAGACGCATGGTATGTTGCCTAACAATTTCTGGTCCTTCGGGCTAACGTTGACACTGGTTTCGGCCAGGGGTCAGTTCTGTCATCAAGGAGTGATGAGCTCGTTGGGATGTAAACTTCCATTAACGGCTTGACATGGATAGCACGTGTGTTGCCCAGAGCCCAGCCCAGATCCAGCCAGCCAACCAGCATGCACTACCATCCGGCGACTGGACGAAATTGCTGCACAATCCCACATGACGTTGACGTAAAGACAGGTGACTGTGGCACATTGACAAAATGCACAAATTAAGTACACTGCTCGTTTCTTCGCCCTCTGAGAGCGTAGGGGGGTCGACTCGAATCCGACATGGACCGGATGTTGCTCAGAGCCGTACATCAGCAAGTGTGCACAATAACGCATGCGTACGTCTGCATGGAACGCGTTTGCATGCGATATATACTCCAATCACGTGCCGAAACTGCTTGGTGACTTCGCGAAGGGGGCGGCTCAGTCGCCATGCCAACAAGCGGTCGATCGCGCCGCTACTGCGCTTCCAAATACGTCAGGGTAACATTGCATTTTATGTTGCTTGGTTACGGCACACTTACCTTGTAGTTACCGGTACCCATGCACCCTCAGGGGCTGTAGTTATAATCGGATTCGGGTCGTACGATTTCATTCGCTGCCTGGCTTCAGCTCGATTTCCGCTGCAAACTGACCGCGCTGGAGTTCAGGAACTGTTGTAGGACGCTTGGCATGCTTTTTGGTGGCGGAAATAACGACGGCAGGACAACGATGCCGTGAAACGACGCAGCATGAAACCCGCTCATGAGGCATAAGACGCATTGACCTAAGCGTGACATTAACAACACTGGGTGTTTAAAGACGAGCGACTGTTATGTCGACGTTGGCAAGCTCTGGCATGGGCGCCAAGTATGGAGGACGGAGCTTTCCTGGAACGCTGGACGTGGAGGTGCGCTCTACGGCATTATCAACGTTTAATTGTCCTAGAGCGCCTGATGGGCCAACCTGGGGGCTTTCTTAACTGCCACGCCAGAAAGCTGTCACACCTATGCCGCATCAGATAGCGTATTACCATATGCGCTTTGTCGTATCACGATTTGAGTTGATTGCTCTGTTAGCTTCCGAGGTGGCAGGGGAACGGACAGGGGATGTCCTCCGGACTTCGGGCCCCTGGCGCCCGGCTATGCTGCAGGGCACAAAGAGGAAGAGCAATTCTGGGCTCACATTGTATCACGTCAATTGAACCACATAGGTCAGTGAAACAAGTCTCCGGTGCTTTGCGGTCCCGTCCGCGTCACCGGAGGCCATCGGGCACGCTTTGGAGGAGGTCGCCAGCGGTCTACCTTCGTCGGTTACAGATCTACACCTCTACGGAATGCCGTGTGTGACACAGGTTAGAAATGTGTGCAATTTGCCTTGGAGAGGATGCTTAGTGCTAGTCACGTCATTCACCACAGTAATGGTTCCCTCGCTTTCATCCCAACCATTTGCCGATAGCTACAACTCCTTGCGAATTATTCCGCCCCCCTTCTCCCTCCTCCCCTCCCTGTCACTCATATTTCCCCCCTCCCAACAGTCCGCCCTGCACCGCCTGCTGGAGCGCTGCCCGCAGCTCACCGCGCTGCTCATGCCGGCTGCGCAGCTGCCCTGCCCGCAGGCGCTGGGGCGGGCGGAGCAGCAGCGGCCCGCGCAGCTGGTGCCGGCGCGGCTGAGCAGGCCGCCGGGCGCCTGGGCGCTGCAGCAGCTGCCGGGGGGCCTGCGGGAGCTGGGGCTCACGGACTGCGGGTGGGGGGCCGTGGGGGATGGCGGGAGAGGGAATGGGGGGATGTGGAATATGGCAGGAGAGGAGGGGATGTGGGGGATGGCAGGAGAGGGAATGCGGGGATGTAGGGAATGGGGTGGGATGGCATGACTAAGGGGTTCAGTAGAGAGGAGGCAGAGAGGCGAAGGAGGTGTGTGTGTAGTTCCCATGACAGAAGGGCATGGGGGAGGGAGTGGAATGAAGTGGTCATCCAGGGGCCTTTTAAGCCCTGTCGCACGCACGTGTCGGTATGCTAAGGTTGCGCCCGAACAAGCCTGCTTCCGTTACCCAACCCCCATGCCGCTCTCTGCCACCCTATCCCCTCCATCCTCCCCGCCTCTCTGCCACCCCTCCCGACAGCTCCCTGCACCCAACCTCCCTGGTCCACCTGCGGGGCTTGACCGCCCTCACGCGTCTATCCCTGCGCGGACTGAGGGTGCCACCGCAACCGCCACAACCGCCACCGCAGCAGCAGGAGCAGCAGCCACAACAGCCCCCGTCTCAGCAGCAGCAACCCGAGCGCTCACCTCAGGCAGCGGCACCTCCAGCCCAGGGAGCCGCTGCACCCGCCAGCCAAGGGGAAGCAGCAGCAGGCCAGCTCTGCCCGTTAGCCGCCTCCCTAGAGTCCTGGACCCGACTCACGATGCTGCAGGTAGGGCGGCGGGCGGCGGCGCCGTCTCTGCTTCTTTATGTCGTATTCCGTTCCTCTTCTGACAACAACATGTGGCGCCTAACCGCTCCTCGCTGGCTGCATGAGTTTACTGGTTGTCAAAGAGTACCGGTAGTCTGCGTTGGCCGAGCTTCGATGCCGCAGCAGCTATTGACGTACCGTCCGGGTTAGAACTCACAAGTATGCACCCATCCTGCATTTCGTCACAGTCTCGTAGACGTTTGTTTGTTACTCTTGCCTTTCGCCGTCCTTAACTCCCCACCCTCCTGCAGGATCTTGAACTAGTGGGCCAGGCAGGTCCTGATCCTGGCGACCCATGGGACGGCCTGCTGCCCGCCCTTCTGCCCTCCACCTCACAGCCACCCAGCGGCCTTACCCGCCTGACTCGCCTCGCCTTCCACCCACCCTCCCTGGCGGACGCCGCATCCGCACTCGCGCCCCTGGAGCGATGCCCCACGTTACGCCGCCTCGAGCTCGGCAGCAGCAGTACGACGCCATTGGCTCTGTACGACGACGCGTGGCGGGCGCTCGCGGCGGCACCTGCCCTGGAGCAGCTCCTGCTGGGGCACTGTGACCCACGGGTCAGCGCCAGTGCCTTGTCAGGAGTAGGTGGTACGGCAGCTGCTGACGTGGGTGCAGCCGCGATGCTGGCTGCCACGCTGACGAAGTGGGGAAGCGGAGGCGGCCACTGCAGCAGCAGCGGTGCTGGTCTGGGGGCCACCAACTGGGGCGGATGGAGTCCCAGCGGTGGGGTTGAGTGGGTTCCCCGTGACACCCTCAAAGCGGCTGAAGATGAGGGCGTCTGGGGAAGCGGCGGCGGCGGCGGTGGCGTGGACGGGGTAGGCGTGGGCGGTCTGGCGGCGGCGCCGTGGGGGCCTTTTGAAGCCGGCGGCGGCAGAGGAGGAGGATACCTGGGCAGCGGTGGCGGCGGCGGTGGGGTGTACGGCGGGCTGACGACGACGCCGCTTGGGAGTCCGCTGCGGTTCGGAGCATGGGGCAGCGGCAGCGGCGTAAGCATTGGGGGTGAATTGAGTCATGTTCCCAGCTGGGATGCGGGAGCCGGTTCAGATGTAGCGAGGCTGCCACCGACGGGACTGGTTCCTGACGTGCCCGAGGAGGCTAGCCTGGGTAGCTGTACGACAGCTGCCACCCCGCCGCCGCCACCTCCAAGCGGTTTGGGAAGGGGCCTTGGCGGGGGCCTTAGGAGGAACAACAAGGGATCAGCCGGGGCTAGCAAGGGGCCTTTGTGCCGGCAAGCTGCTGCGGCGTCGCCTGTAGGCGAAGGTATTGCGTCCGCCCCAGGAACGTCCTTGGGCCGTTTGGTCTTGGGTATGCTGGGAACAAAGTCAGCAGTGGTGGCGCAAACGGCAGCCGTGGGGCATGATGGGCAGTCGAGGGGAGCAAATGCGGGAGGCACGGTTGCTGCAGCTCCTGGGCTCCAGGGTGGGCTTGTGGAGCCGGCGGCGGCGGCGGCGGTTATGCCAGCAGCTGACGTCATCGGGTTGGAAACTGTACCGCCGCCGACGCCGCCGGTCGTCGCGGCATCATCACCACCGGCCCACACCACCGCCTACAGCGTCAGCGGCGACGGCTGTAGCGCCCCATGTGCGAGTGACCCGCCCAGCAGCAGCGACGCACCGAGCACCATCAGTGAGGCACCTAGCACCAGCGCCAGCAGCATCGGAGCGGCCTGTCGGAGCGGCCTCATGGCGACCACGCCTAGCGGCGGCGACGGCAGCGGAAGAACTGGCGGCGGCGGCGGCGGCGGCAGCGGCAGCAGTCCGGTACGTCCGGTATCTGACAGTGGCTACAGCTGGTGCAGTAGCGGCGGCGGCGCAGATGAGGTTACAGTGGCCGAAGTGACGGCGGCGAGGACTGCGGCCACAACCTCGGGACTACGTCCTGACCCCGTCGTTGCTGCGGAGACCAAAAGCGAAAACGGACGCAGCGGCTGCGGTGGTGGAAATGGAGCATCCCGCGTAATGACGGTATCATCAGACGTCGGTGCAATGCGGCTCCGCTGCGGCAGCTGGACCAGCGGTGCTGGCCGCCGCAGTAATGGCGGCGGCGCGTGCATTGGTAGCAGGTTTGGCGGCGGCGGTATGGCAGCAGGTACGGCAACAGAGGAGGAAGCGGCCAATATCGTGGCGGCGGCGCTAAGTGCGGCGGCTAGGTTCAAGGCCATGGCCAAGGGGACGTCCGCGTCAGCATCCGCCGGCAACAGCCCTATCGGCGGCGGCCGCAGTTTGTACGGCGGTCGCGGGTTTGCATCATTTCCCGGCAGTGGGGGTGTCGTACTAGCGGCGCAGGAGGCAACTGCCGCCGTCAACGCAGCAGCAAACTCAGTTGAAGATTCACAAAATCGTACAGTTGATGGTCAAAGGTACGACAGTGCCAATCGTACGGAGCGCTTCGGGTGCGGCATTGAAGGCGAGGAAGAAGGCGAGAGTATGCCCGTACACGCCACGTCGTCGGGTTCCATCAACTCCAATGGTCATGACCAAAGCCGCAACGAACTCTTAACGGACGCCTTCCGTGCAGCTAAGCCGGAGCCGCTGGCGGCAACCAACACATACGCAACAGCATGCCGCGAAGCGCTGGCAGTCAGCCCCGCCGGCCCCCAGGTAGCCATGGCCGCCACCGCTGCCACCGCTGCCGCCGCCGCAGCAGCAGCCACGACGAGCACTGCCGCCCTTACCTCCGTTGCCGCCCGTACCGCTTCCATGAAGCCTGTCGTACGACATGACGTCGTACGCAACAGCCCGCCCAGCGATATCAACACCACCGCCGCTGCCATTGTCACCGCCACGGGTGCTCCCTTTCCAACAACGGCCACCGGCCACAGCTTTGGTCTGGGGCGGCGAACTGCATGTGGCCCGGGATTGGGGGCCCCAGGCGGCTGCCTGTTTGCCGCCCTCACGCGGCTGTCGCTGCTGCGGTTGCCGGATGCCAGCCTGCTGTCGCTGGCGGGCTGCTGGCGGCTGCAACAGCAGCTCCGGAGCCTGTCGGCAGCGGACTGCTGCGAGCTGAGTGCGGGGGGACTCACGGTGGGTTGTGCCGGCTCTGGTCGCCCTTTTTACGGTCGCCAGTGAGGTTCTGGTACGGTAGTTACGGTAGTTATAGCGCGCGGTATCATCGCGCGCTATAGTGTAGTTTATCGGGTTCCCTAAGCGTTATTTGGCATGAGACGATGAGAGGCGGCATAGGAATTGAGAACCTGTCCCTGCCCTGACAAGCATCGCTTGGACTGGAGGAGGAAATATGTAGCCACATCACACATTACCAACGCTGCCTTTGGCTCGTGTTTTGGTTTATGCTCTACCACGTTCCACGCATCCTCGCCGCGCAGGCTCTTCCCAAGCTCCGGAACCTAGAGCAGCTTAGCTTGCTGGGCCTAACCGAAACGTACGACACCGTGTTTGGCAGTTGGACGGGACTGTACGAACTGCGAGCGCTGGAGTTGGGCATGAGCCGGGCGGCGGCGGCGGCTCTGGCGGCAGCGCCGGCGGCGGTGCTTCCTTCCTGTCCATTACCGGCATCCTTAGCTATGGGTGCAAAGGGAGTTTCTACAGGTTTGAACAGCGATAACAACGATGTCGGTGATCGGAGCGGCGGCGCTGATGGCGACGACGGCAGGAGCGATGGAGGAAGTACGGATGCTGCATTGTACGGCAGCAAGTCATCAGACAGGTACGGCACATTTCGCTGCGGTAACATGATATGATGCGGCACTTTGTATACTGTTAAATTGCAAGCAGCTGCAAGCGGACACCGGCAAGTTCATCATTGCAAGAAACCCTATGAATTGGGTCCCTCTCCTCTTCCCCCTCCCCTTCCTCCTCTTCCTCCTCCCCTAACAGGTGGACCGCCGCCCTCAGCGATGCCGGCAGCGTCGACTGCGACAACTGCACTGCCGGCAACGTGAGTGACATCGAAGACATGGACGACCTCGCAGCCACCTTTGGCACCGGCACCCTGGGGGGCAGCAGCTGCACCCAACCAGACGGCGGCGCAGGCGGAACCGCGGACTGGGCCGCCAACCTGCCCGCTTTCTTTACCGGGATCTCCTCCTGTGTCGGCGGACCGGCGGCATGTCCCGCTTCTCCTTCATCGCCGCCGCCGCCGTCCTTGCCGTTGCCGCAGCGTCATACTGACCTTACCCATTCTGGTTATGACGGTGATGCTGCAAACCAAACAGGAGCATGGGACTTTGGCTTGCGTGAACCGGCGTCGTCAGCAGCTGGCGGCGCCATTGCTAGCGGCTGTTTGGGTGTTGGTGGGTGGGATGTTGCGCCTGACGCAAGCTCAGCGGTTAGGTGGGCTCCGCCGATGGCAGTGGACCTGCATGGGAGCCGCAGCCAGCAGGGAGGCGGCGCCGCTGCTGCGGATGATGATGTCGGTGCTGCCGTACACCATCATCCGTACGGCAGTCCTGCGGGCGGGGGCGGCGGCGGCGACAAACGAGTGCATGGGGGCCGCCGCGGCGGGGTGCTGTGCGCAGAATTGGCAGCGGCGGTGGCGGTGGCAGGGGCGGGGGCGGAGCAGGGTCTTGCCGCCGGCGTCACGACGGATGAGGCAGCGGCGACCGAACCTCTCCTTGCAGCCCCGCTATCAGACGTTGGTAAGACTACTGCACCTGCTGTAGGCGAAGCATGGAAGCTTGCTTGTACAACATTCCCCGGCTGCTGACGTGTGCAGCTGCCTCGGGCACTGCCATTGAACACGCTTAACCCCTTGGTGCCGCATGCAACATACGGCGGACCTTAGCAGCTTCATCATCCATTCTTCCCTACGTCGCCGCCTTACCATGCGATCATCCGCCCTCAGCTGTCTCCCCTTAAAAACCTCTTCCTTCCTTCCCCACTTGACACACCCATCCACCCACCCACCCACCCACCGCTGCTCGCCGCCCCCCAGGCCTGCAGCTGCTGCTGCAGCAGCTGCCGCGGCTCCGACAGCTGCACCTGCACAACCTACCGCACCTCACCCCCGCCACTCTGGAGCAGGTGGTGAGTGCCGAGAGTCGGAGTCCCTCCAGCCTGCGGTCTCCTTGCGTCGTGACGTCGCCACCTTGCTCGCTGCTACCCGCCCAACAACGCGATACCCTATCGGTTACCGGTCTCTGTGCTGTACGCACGATCACAGCCCTAGTCCCCACCGTACCTACATTCACTCCCGCTGTCCAGTACATATTAAACTCCTGCCGCCCTGCCGTGGCACTCAACCATTACCAGTTTTTACCCCTCACCCACTCCCGCCCACCCCGCCCGCCTCCCCGCCCTCCGCCCCGCAGCTCTCCCGCCCCGGTCTGCGCTGTCTGCAGGTGGACGGCTGCCGGCAGCTCACCCCCGACTGCTGCGAGCTGCTCGCCATCAGTGCAGCCGACCTCACTGCTGCGGAGCCGCATGCAGGGGGGGAGGGGGCAGCAGCGGGGGCTGCAGAGGGGGCAGGGGCAGTCGGAGTGGGTGCGGCTGGAGCTGCGACAGACGCAGGGGAGGGAGGGGTGGTGGTCTTCCCAGGGGCAAGGGCAGCAGGTGAGGAGAAAGGGAGGGAGAGGTTGTTGCTTCGGTTGGTACCGGTGGTCTAATGGGGCTGGTGGCGTAGCAGCGGGAAGCGGGGACGGATGCAGAGGGGGGCATGGTGGATCAGCATGAGGTGGAGGGGGGGCAGCGGGGAGGTGTACATAAGCGTTTTGGGAGGAGGCGTCCGGAGCAGGGTGCGATGAGGGCAGACGACGTGAGAGTGGGCTGTATGATAGGGTACGACGAGAGGCGGGGCAGCAGCAGGGATGGAGATCCTGTTGTGAGGGTGTGATTGCACGAGGGGCGAGGGGAAACCGAGGACTGCGTTCTCCGCCAGTGTCTGGGTAATGATGTCTGTCTGGGACCTATAACTCTGACCGCTGAGCGCTGTTGTTAACACACACCAATCATGGATCAAGGATTAGGGCTGCGGAGCATGTAGGAACGTAGAGAAATGGCTGTGCTGTGCAGTAGGAAGCTTCGGAAGGGTAGTATAGGTGCAGTCGTACAGCTAGCAGGTTGTATTGCTCAAGGAGACAGTAGGGTATTGTTTGGGAAAACAGCAGACTGATTACAATACCATGCATCCAGTGACGTTTTGCTGGCGTACATATGAGAGCAATCGGGAGGTCATGTTGTCTATGTATACTGCGTAGTGCTTTTACGCGTTACGCCCTTGATGTTTTCCTCTAGAAACAGGTGTGCATGCATGGGACCGTCTGGTGTGGCCCATGGGTCGGAAGCTCCTTTAGCAGCCACGCGCAGGAGATGTGCGTGTATCTAGGTTGCGAGGCTTCCTGCAGACGTTCAGTCATGACAGAAAGACCTGACAATGCCTGTCGTCAACTGATGCGTTTAACTGCCGACGCAGGCTTTACCCATATGTTGTACGAAGTAAGGCTTTTTGGTCATGGGCGCTGCCAAGATGTACTATTTAGGTGTTGTAGCGCACTATGTTGTCTGTTGTAACAAATTCAAGTTTGACTCTTCGCCATGTTCAGTGACTTCTGGAATGGGCGGGAATGTTCATACGATGAGGGAACTGGAAAGCTCCTCAGAGCTCATTTAAGGTGACAACAAGGCAAGATGCTGTTTGAAAGGCTGGATCCACGGTGGAACCTGAAGCGCGCGTCGACTGGTTTCCCTTCGGCCTAGTTCGCGTCTGGCAACGCACCCACATAAAGCGGATGTGCTTTACCTCGAGAGCGCTATACAGTCATTGCGACTTGTATAGTAGGCTGTGGCGGAGCGTCAAGTCCTTATGCCGTGGTAATGGGGCTAAGAAGGGCTACGAAGGACCGCCTTCCCGCGTACCTAGGCGCGTTGCCATTTATATCTAAGCCGTGAGAGAATCACTACGATAATGTACACTAGCTTCGTGCTCGGGGTATATAGCTGCATGGCCTGCGCCCTGCCCCGATCAAGTTTCTCCGGTGCTATCGTGTCGCCGGTGCTCAGAACTGCTGTCACCGCTGTCACGATGCACCATAACCCAGCGTGCGCGAGCTACTCGCGTAATCAGTTAAGTCGTAAGGGCTGTCCATGACTACCGGTGGCGTACCATACTGGGTCGGCCTTGCCTAGACAGGCAGACGCAGATGACCCAGGCAGACGCAGGGCCCCACAACGTCGCCTGTCAACACGCAACAAGGTTACCGGTACAGTGAATGCCGTGCTTCCCGTATATAGCCATGTAGCGAAACGTCGAAAGCGTGAGCAGATTACAATCAAAGCCAAAGGCATCGCAGAGGAAGGCCCACGAAACACATGCATACGTCAGCTATGCGCTACCCCGAGGCTTAAGGTTTAAGTTTTAGCACAGTTGACAAGCGCGAGGATAGCGCACAACAACCCTTCATCGACGCAATTCCGCCCTAAGATTAGGTTACCGTGTGTGGCGATCATCCACCAAACGCTGTTGCGTTCATGTGCTGTTAAGGCTCCTAGCTACCCAACCAGGCAGCAACAAAAAGCCCATTGGTGCTTCCGTCTGCAATTCTGACGAGGGAATGTCAAGTTCCAAGCGTACGACAGGCTCTTGCCGCTCTACTGGTTCGTCTTCACGACCCACGGGTCACCCTACCTCCCCAACAGCCTCCGGCCGTTCCAGCAGCCCTTCTCGCTACCGGCGCGGCTCATCCGCCAGCCTGCACTCGCCCCTGTCCACCACCTTCCTTGTGGTATGGGGGGTGCTGCTGCTACTGGGGCTGTCCGTGCAGGCTGCTCAAGCCGCGGGATCCACATCGCATTCCAAGACGGCTGACAAGGCGGCTGAAGTCGCTGCTAACACAGCCGTGCCACTGGAGACACCGTTACTGCGATTTGAGGACCTAGTTGCTAATGACACAGGTTCTGCGTCCGGGTCGCAAATCAGCTCGGAAACCGAAACCCTTGCTGATGTGGGAGCAGCCACTCGGCAACCCGGATGGCTAGGCGGCAACCAACTGCCATTGCAACAGCAGCCCATTCGAGGAAATCGGCTGATTGGTATCCTTAACCCCAACCGCTTGCCTAACGACGTTAACTACATTGGCAATCTGCCATCCCAGGCAGTCCTGCCTACCCCCTCGCCTGATCCATCGCCTCCTCCGTCGCCTCCTCCACCGCCGCCACCAAAGGCCCCCAAGGCTCCCAAGAAGCCCAGTAAGCCCAGCCAACCAGCAGCATTAACGGCTTCGTCAAATCCAGCTGGAGCAGCAGCCACCAACGATGCTTTAAGCAGCCAGCCATCCTTCCGGGGTTCCGCGGGCGCCTATCGGGAGCTAGGGGTGAGCTTGGAAGACCCTCAATTTACAGAAGTGTACATACCGGTGTACCGAAACGGCTAGGTGTGAGGCACGAGTGGGTTTCAACTAGCTAATTGCCGGTATATAGTTGCAGCACCCACCTCCAGCCCCCTCTCATACGTCCCTTATCACGCATGACGACCCAACCTCACCTTGCCGCCATGCAAGCCCCCATCCAAAATCTTCAGCTCCCTCACCGTACTCGCCCTTCTGCGTTACAATATCCCCTGCGCCTGCATGTCCCCTGCCCCGCAGTTCAGGGCCGCCACCACGGCCGCCCTCATTGCTTCCTTGCCGGGCAGCTCGCGCTATCTGCTGGTGGAGCGGCCCCGCAGCAACAGCCACACACTGGCAGCATCGGTGGTGGACCTGGCGTCGGGGCAGGTGCGTGCGGCAGGCGTAGGTGCTGGGACAGGGAAAGCTGCAGGTGTGTTACGGTCGCCTAGTTACGCTTGCAGCACTACCTCCCGTTAACTTACCGTTCGCTGTGCCCATGCTACGCGCCCCGGCTCGCCCCTCATTGCTTGCCTCCTGCCTACTATATACCTACAGGCTCGTGCTCAGAAGCCTCCAGTGGATCACTTCTGCGCCGGCGTGGTGGTCCTGCCGGACGGCAACCCGCTGCTTGTGGGTGGCCACACGGGCACCAACAAGGTGCCGGACGGGCGGCAGACGATGTCGGTGAGCCGCTAGGATTGGAAGTGACCGGGGGGGAGGTACAGGAGCAGGAGCGCATTGCGGCGGGGGGGAAGGAAGGAATGTGTTGTTGGAATGTAAGGCGTGTCAGGTCAATGGTGGTGGTGCGTGAGAAGGGCTTGCGCGAATGGGCGCGGATGGGGGACAACAGCGGCAAGGGAGAAGGGTTGTGAGCTGTTAGGTAGGATACGCGGGCATGCAGGGGGATATGAGTGTCCTTGGGGTATGAGGCTTCGATGAGGAAGGCGACGCTGCGACTGCAAGCAGCTAGCGTATACATGTGCAATCACGGCATCATAGTGTTTCCTCCTTCATTTACGTCAGGGTGTTCCCTCATTCTGGTGTTCCCTCATTCGCAGGTCTTCAACAAGGACACGGAGCAGTTCCAGCAAGTGGCGATCATGCAGTGGAAGAGGTAAGTGGGCCCTCGATGTTGGGATACGAAGAAACCTGGTACGGTGGCGTACGTGCTATACATTAATTGGGCGTTCCTGCGTGTATTAGCAGCGGTTTGCTGGGTTTACTTCAGCCTTTACAAGTAACCCTCGCCATCAACTGATGTGAGGCAAACGGAATTCTTTCCATGCCTCAGGTGGTACCCCACCCCAGTGACAATCAACGATAATCAGGTGGGTGCAGGCACGCGGATGTAGCTATGACGATAGTACCATTGCCAGGCTGTAATGACCCGTGGGTCCTAAGACCCCTAACGTAAAACACGCTCATTTCCTGGAGTGGGCTAGGAGCTAGGAAATCCCCCTAAAAACTAGCAAGCGTACCCGCCTTCCTACAGTCGGCCCTTCACTCGCTTTTCCCGACTTGTGTTTCCCACCTGTGTTCCACTCACGTGGTTACCAAACTACGGCCGCAGGTTCTCATCGTCGGAGGCACAACAGACGTGAGTAGAGAGCATGGGGGATTGGTAATAACCTTCCTGTAGCACATGCGTCGCAACCCCTTTTGAAGGTATCTCTCCTTCCAATCCAAGCGCTCTGCACTTCAGCTGCTGCCTACGGTCACTAGACTGCCTATTGCTGCTGGCGCGACGTTGTCCCTTCCCTTCCTCTCCGCCCCCGCATGCAGCCCGACGGCGGCGGCGTTCCCCCACTGGCCGAGGTCTGGTACCCGGGTGTGAAGGCTGATGCGGGAGGCAACGAGACGCTGCTGATGCAGCAGCCACAGCACTTCATGGACAAGGCGGGCTTCAACTGGTACCCATTCATCGCCCTGCTGCCCAAGGGTACGTGCGGCATGCCCTGTTTTCCTCCTGATGCAGGACATGTATGCACTGGATGTGCAGAAGCAGCTGCATTCTGTTACCGTACAGAAGATACAGCCGCAGATGCCACCTACCCAACGCATACCCTATTTGTTTCCCATACTTCTTAGCCCCATCCCACATCGCCCCTTCCCATCCTTCTCCATTGCCCCGCACAACCCTGCTGCGCAACCCTGCCATGCGCTCCGTGCTCCTACCAGGCCACCTGCTGTGGTGGGGGGACACGGGCGGCTCCATCACCGCCCCCTCCCCGAACACCCCGCCGGTGGACCTGCCACCCTGGCCGGCGGAGGCAGGGTACGGCTGAGCGTCTTGCATACCTTGTGACGGTCATCTTCCGGCCTCAGTGTCTGGTACTCAAGCTCATGCCTGTGCAGCCTGCTTACAAGCAATATTAGCACAACAGCTGCTATTGTGTAATACCCAACCGCGCCCACCCGCCCACCGCGTAACCCTAACCCCCCCCCCATCCACCACCTTGCTTCCCCGCTGCTGCAGGCACCGCACCATGTACCCCTACACGGCCACCCCCGCGCTGCTGGCCCTGCGCCCGGACAACAACTACACACCCAGGATGGTCATCTTTGGGGGGACGGTGAGTTATGTAGCGTGCAACCAGCGGGATGTCTCATGCGTGAAAACCAGCGGGAGGCAGATAAGGGCTGCAGGGAATGGCAGGAGACGATTTATACCCTCCGCTCGACGCTGGCCGACTACATGTCGTACTGTGCTACAGTATTTCAACCAAATGGCCACTCCCTTATTTCAATTCGCCTCCGTCATGGGCTGCCTGTACGCATGCCTCATGCTTTGTCCCATGGCGACCTCGTGCTTTTAGCACCTACCCGCCATCCTGCCTACTCTGCCTGTCTTCGTTACAATGCTGGGCCTCCCTGAACCTCGCCGGCCCTCCTACACCTCAGCCCTACGGCGCCATAAAGGACACCCCCGCCACCTCCATGTCACTCCGGATGGACTTCTACCCCTGCGACAACGGCTACTGCCCTTCGGGCTGGCAGGTGGGAGCAGTACGGGGCAGCAGCCGACACTTGCATGGGACACTTGCATGGGGTTAACGCCTACTCGGCCTGAGGTAGTTGCAGTACGTAACCCGTCAGTTGACGCTTGAACGTCCATGGCCCTATCTTTCCCGAGAAACGCGTCCAATGCTTGTATGTATGCCCTCTGCTGTGTGACAACGCCACCCTGAATACCAACAACCGTTTGCCATGTGTCATGAGGTTATGGCACTCCTTTGCTAGATATCCCTAACCCCTCCGATGCTGCTGCTCCCATCCTTTGGGCAGATCGAGGATATGATTGGAGTGCCGCGTGTCATGGGTGACAGCATCCTGCTGCCCAACGGCTGGGTCATAGTGCTGAACGGGGCGCAGGTGGGTGCGATCCTGCCTGCGCGCGTGCGTGCTTCCTTGCGCCCATGTGAATGCATCCTTGTGTGCGCGTGTGTAGTGCCGAGAGTCGGTGGCTGACTTCCTTTCGCACCTCGCTGGGATGCATCCTCTCCCCGTGTTGCTCTTCCGCCGTGCAGAAAGGACGTGCCGGCTACGGCGACCAATCCTCGTTCCCGAACAACGTGGCGTTGATATACGACCCGGAGGCTCCCCTCGGCAGCCGCTACCAGGTGCGTTAGGAAGGGAACCTGGGACGACTCCGCTAGACCGCAACGAAGCATGTGGCCGCTTCCAGGCACACAGCAGCGCCCAAGCAAGCAATCCCCGGCGACCTCATATGCCCTTATCAGCCCGCTCTCCTGCATGCCCCCGCCTTCCCTCCCCACCGTCCAGGCTCTGGACCCCACCCCCATCATCCGCCTCTACCACTCCGTCGCCTGCCTGCACCACACCGGAGAGGTGCTAGTGTCGGGATGCGACACCTGCGACGCGGGCGTTACCGGCATGGTGGGTGAGGTTGGGCGGAGGCACGACAATCCGTACACACGTGCACGCGCTTAACAGCTAGGCTCCAGAACCCGCGCATGCCCCGAGATACTCTGCCGCTCTTCTTATGCACATAGTGTAGCGACAGGCCGACGCACCGACCCACTATCCTCTAGCTCACACACACCCCGTGGGTAGCCGCGCCCGCCTCTGCCCCGTACCCGCATCGCCATCCGTGCGCCCCGTTGCGGTACATACACCTCCAGATCCAACACCCCATACCTCCTGTCCTCGCCCCCACGCTGCCCAACTCTCTCCCCCTTTGCAGCCCCCCGGCACCGTCCCCAGCCCCGAGGCCCCCCTGGAGTACCGCCTGCAGCTGGTCACCCCCGCTGTCATAGGGCCCACGTCGCAGCGACCCGTCATTGTCGGCGCGCCGGACGTGCTGCAGCGGGGCCAGTGAGTAACGAAGTGCGCGGAACATGTAGCAGGGTGTAAAGTTGGAGGGAGTGCCTCCTGGGACATTGTCGAGATGCTTCAGGTGTGGGAGCGAGGTTGCATGCGCGCACCTGATGGCGCAGGCTTACAGGCGGCTCAGCAGCATGATGAGCAGAGCGTCTCGTCTGTTGTTGCAGTGGGGGCGTTCCGGCGTCCAGTCCCAACACCCAACCTTATCTCCCACCCTATCACCTGCCGCCCCCCCCCCTTACCACCAAACGCCAACCGCTCAACCGCCCCAACCACCACCACCGCCACCAGGACCTTCATGGTGTCGTACCAGTACGGCAAGGGCCCCATCACGGGCGCCTCGCTGGCGGCTCCCTGTGCCACCACCCACTCGGTCAGCATGAACCAGCGGGTCGTCATGCTGCGGGTGAGATGATGAGAGGGAGGGGTGCGTGGGGAGGCAGCAGGGCCCAGCTCGATGGTTTCCGCTGACTACCGTGACACTCACTGGCGCTTAGGCTTGTTATCGTGCGTAAAGTGGAGGTGTATCCGAGAGAGCCCTTGCATATGTGACATACAGCATGGTCAAACAATGCCTCTTAGGGCGAGGCTGGACATTCGCTCTTGCATGCATGTGCGTGTCGGGTGCTGCAAACCTACAAGACTATGCAATCCCCGTGATATCGCCTGTCCTCGCCCCCACGAATCGCAGCTGCGCGACCCGCTTCCCAGCGGCACCGGCGGCACTCAAGCAGCGCTGCTGGAGGCACCGCCCGCCGAGTTGCCTGCTTTGGCACCTCGCGGCTACTACATCTTGTTCCTGTTGGGCCAGGACGGCAGCTACAGCGAGGGGAAGTGGGTGCGGCTGGAATGAGCTGCATTGTTCTTGTGATGATAAAGTGACCAAGGCGCTTAGGATTGTCCAGCGTAAGTGATTATGCCTTCTCTCGTGTGCCAGCGTGGGGCGACAGCGGGGTGCGTTATTTGATGACACGTAGCGGATATAGTCCGCAGGGGCTAGTTAGGGACCCATGGGTCCATTTCGTGATCGATATTGGTAGGGGTGAAGGCGGCCATCGCTCGTACGGAAGGATTCGCAAGCACCGTGATTCTAGTGGCATTTGCAAGCCATAGATTAGTGACAGCTTTTAAATCTATCTACTAGCGCTATCTTTGTCTGCTGCCAGCAGCTGTTTTGCATCCGGTCTTGGACCGCGGTGGTTGAAGTCGGGTGGTCGCAGGGCCGTAAACCTATAGCCACTTTCAACATGTTACGGGACAGGTTGCGGCCATAACATTGTCAACAAAGGGCCATGTAACGACCATCACACATGTTATTTCTGCTGCCTTCACAGCTACCGAAAGATGCTTAAAGCGGAATGCGCAATGCAAGTTGTGAGTCCATGGTCCCACTTGCACGTCGTACCGGTAACATGAAACCTACTTACCACGCCCACCTTGTCACGGCTGGCACGGGTAAGTCCCTAGGTTCTGGTCTGCCCTCCCGTGCACAAGCACTGCCGTTTCTTCAGACACACACTGTCTCTCTCACCATATGTACATTGCATATGCAAACTCAATAGACACGACACACCTAACCACACGACGCAGGTAACCCCACGTCTACCCGCTCTTTGCTGACATCGCAGACACCTCTCCTCAACGCTACCGTACCCAAGGAAACCCGGTCATCCAGAGCGGCTGCATGCCATCCCAGCGGATGCGCGTACATAACAAAGCCTGTAAAGTACAAGTTCCGAAAGCTGTTCTCAGACTGTCCCATCGTGACCCGCTTCTCGAGTACCCCTAGCACCGCCATGCATCTGGAAAATCCAAGGCGCCTGAAGACGGGGTATGGGTGTCAACATGCTATCACGCTTGCCAAGGCAGCGGCACGTACGGGGCACGGGTATGTCCCTCAAGGTGGTGTTGCACTCTCACGCCGACTCGGCCTTGAAGGCCGCCAGGGACTGCTGCGGCATGTCGGCTGGCACCACCGGAGGCAACGCAACGGCAGGTAGCGGATCTGCGAGGCAAAGAACGGTCGGTGGATTAAGGAAACAGATGAACGGATACTATTAATAGATTTAATACGGATACCGAACGGATACCACTGGGCGGAGGGTTGTTGCAGCCCTTGCAGGGGCAGTACTTAACTTCCGCAAGACAGTCTGCGCCTAAGCACCATCGTAGTACGCAATCCAAAGCAAAGCCCTACCCACCTGCGCCACCATGATCGCCACCGCTGCGGCCCAAACCACCGCCTCCAGCAGCGGCAGCGTTAGAGGCTGCCTCCCCGCTCCCAGCTGCTTCACCCTGCGGCACGGCCTGTGGCACAGCAATGCAAGACCCAAATTTATTAGTGAGAAGCCAACCGAAGCCATCTATGCAGTAGCCAACAGAAGCTCTGTCAAGGAACGAGTCTTGTAGGCAAACATGTAATCATCTTTCATCATGAACGGAAACGACAAGCAGCCACGCAGGGCCGCGTGCTGCATAAGCGTATACGGATTTATTGCAATACTGGGAGCTTCGTGTCAGTGTGGCGTATACGGATATGACCAGGTCAGGTCACCCTGTACCTGTGCTCGAAGGGTCGGTGAAACCGCTGTCGCCATCTGCGGTGGCTGCATCTCAGTCGTCACGGTACCATTGGCCAGGCTAAGCATGGTAGCAAGCGCTGTTGTGGCACCGCCGGGGTTGAGGACGGAAAGCTGCGGCCCTACTTCCACCGCCGTCGGTGAAGCCACTGCGGTGGGAGCTGCCGGTGAAGCGGCGGAGCCGGCGCCCGTGGCCGAGGCGTCGCCCCCGGGATTGCCGCTTCCGCTGGTCGCCTGGGGCCGCGACATGGAGGGAGACGCGCGGGGCAAGTGTTGTGAGCATGTGCATGTCGCCAGTGACAAGAAAAGGAGGGACTTTCCTTCACAAACCACATACGGATATAACGCTACGGACGTATCGCTGATTACCCCAGGGCATGCAAGGCAAGGTAACCAAACCCACCAAACTGGATTTAAACCGACCCACCTGGCCTACGAAGGCACCCAACGGCCCGGCTGGCAGCGTCAAACCCTGAGCAGCAGCACCCTCCGCAGGAGGTGCCACGGGCGGCGCTGCTCCCGCCATAGCTCCCCCACCCCCGGCAGATGCTGTCGACGGCGGAGTTGCAGCTGCAGCGGTGCCGGCAGCGGAAGCTGCAGCAGTGCCAGCCAGGGGCGGCGGCAGGAGTCCAGGTATGGACCCAGCTGCCTGGATTTGCAGCTGTTCGTCCTGAGATACGGCCTGGGCCTGGGCGGGGCAGGCCACGGAGTGGGAATTGGTGTGGAGTATTAGCCGTACGATTAAAGTGCGCGGGAATATGCCACATGGCACAGCACACACTCCGGTGGAAAGGGGTGCTTAGGGTTGAGGCGAAAGACAGGCACCACAATGCACCGCAGGGGTTCGCCAGGTTAGGAGGCAAGGCGTCCATAGCGTTTCCCTGAGAGGAGTCATGCAACAAACAACGCAAGTTAACAGTCCTACAACAGTAGGACGGTACGACCCACAGCAGGTCGGGACGCCTTCCCTGCCCGCACTCAGCTAGCATATCGTACGCCGCTCCCGGACACACCTGCATCAGCAGCGCCGACACAGTCTGCAGCGGCACTCCCCCGCCGCCGCCCGCAAGGCCTCCGGGAGCGGCGCCGAGTCCCCCTGCACCCGCCGGCGCTGTCTGCAGCGCACTCTGCAGCTGCTGCTGCATTGTTAGAGGCTGCTGCTGCTGCTGTGCGTTTGGCGGTTGTTGCTGCTGCTGCTGTGGTGGTGGTTGTTGTTGAGGCGGTGCTAGCAGTCCCAGGCCGCCCAGGCCCACACCGGGGGGCATGCCAGGCAGCTGCAGCTGCGGGTCTGCAGCGCCCAGGACAGGCAGGCCCGCAAGCGACAACAGCTGGGCCTGCAAGGAGATGTCGTCTGGATTATTAACACGCGGTTAAAGATCACATCAACGCCGTCTCTGCCTCTAGGCAGTCAACATCCAGCCTTGGCAACACCATGCCAACTTCCCCTCCCATGTCCATCACCCATCCCATGTTAGCCAGCCTTGTGCACCTGCCCTCACGCACCTGCAGCCCCCGCTGCAGCGACTCCGTGTCCACCCCCGCGGCCGCCAGCGCGTTCAGGCTGTTCAGCAGCACCGGAAGCGCCAACTGCGGCGGCAGCGCGGCGCCTCCCGGGCCCAGCATCAGCCCGGGGGGCAGCCCGGGGATCCCCACCGCACCCTGCAGGGGCGGCGGCGGGTAATGCTCCATTTGGTGCTGCTGTTGCCGCTTGACCCTGCATGGGAACATATACCGTATGTGACGGGCGAGTCAGGATGAGTGTAGGTGATAGGAGGTTCTTGGTCGCGCGTAAAAGTTAGGACCGCATTGGGCCCGCCACATCGAACAACTCTACCGTCGTTACCCGAATCCGCGCATTTAGCCCCGCGCCTTCGCCCCCAGGTACCGGTAACCCACTTAATCTCTCACTTTTGCGAGACCTCGTACTCCTTGCGCCAGCGCCCCACATCCACCCCGCGTTCCCGCAGCGTTGGCTCGTGGTGGCGCAGAAAGTGCTTCCTCACGCAGTCGGTGTGGTAGGCGGAGTAGGCGGTGCAAGCGTGATTGCACACCAGGCACATGATCTTCTTGTGGTCAGCCACCTGCGGCGGACGAAGCAGGGCAGGTGGATGTGGTCAGAAGGTGCTGGCCTCACCAAGAAGGGAAAGGACGGCGGCTGAGGCGGTGCCGCAAGCAATGTATCAACCAGACACGGCAGCTTGAAGCAAGCAGACGACATGATGGCCCTATATGGCCCCCATGTGCTGGCGCTGCTGCTTTGGCAAGGAGCCGGTTCACCTCCACCATGCCCGCGATCGCCCCGTCAAACAGCTCCGCGATCTTGCGGGTCATGTCCGCCATCTTCTTGGCGTGTTGCGCCTCGTTCTTGAAGCTGCGTCCGGGAGGGGTGAGTTGGAGGCGATGAAGCGTGAGAATGTGTTGCGCATATGAAACGACATGCAAGAGCAGCATGCATGGCGGCAGATGTAGCACCAGCGGCGATAGAGCGTGTAACGAGAGGATGGTTGCTGTTTATGGTCAGTAAGTGGGCGGCACTCGGCACCCAGGCACCCACCGTCCGTCTGCATGGCGTGTCTTGCTCTCCTTCTTCGACTGTATGATCAAGGTCGCTCCATAGCTGCCGCCCATGGCGCCCTCGCTGCCGCTGGGCCGCGGGATACCCAGCAGTCCGCTCAGCTGCGGCGGAGAGGAGGCAACAGGACAGAGGAGCGGGGGCGGAAGCGGAATCGGGAGAAGGATAGGAGAGAGGGGAGGAAAGCAAACTGACGCAGAAAATGAGGAACACATGGCTTGCAAGCGAAGCCTACGTATGGCTACCGTACAGAGCCAGGGTCTCCGCCTCGTTCCATGTGCCAACAGCACCATGAGAGGCGGCAGTAACCGTGGTAATGTATAATAACTTACCGTTCCCCCATTTTCCCCCTGCATCTCGCCATCCTCTCCGTCGTCGCCATCCTCGCCGCCGCCTCCAGCCGCACTGCTGTACACCCCAAACCCCTCCCCTGGTATGGCATCCCCCGGTTGTGGCGGTGGCGGAGGCTGTAGCACTAATTGGTACGGCGCGTATCCTGCAGCCGCCAGCGCTGCCGCCGCCGCGGCGGCGCCTTGCGGGTGTTGCTGAGGGTGTACGACACTGCCGCTGAGGAGAGCCGCCGTGGCTGCTGCCGCCGCCGCTGTGACGGCGTCGTTGGGAGTCGGTAGCTGCAGAGGAGGAGGGACCAGCGGCGCTGGCGGCAGCACGGGGGCCGTCACGGCGGGTACCGCCGCAGCGGCGGACTCGCGACCCGTGGAATGCGCCGCAGCAGCGTCCAGGATGCCTGGTGTGAGTGGCGAGATGGGGTTGAATGGAAGGGGTAGGAGCACGTGGACGAGGCGTTGCCGTACAGGAACATCAGGTATTACATGAGAAGGGTTTGGGGTCGACTGGCGAACCACACATGCTTACCGGGCATTAATCATGGCCTACATTGCTATAAGCCGTGGGAGGCATATAACGATAAGACGAGCCATGCACACACACGGCTAAGCAGCACGGTCCCAGTACGTTCCTACTCGCGGCCAGTTTTCTTAACACACGGCTAAGCAGCACCAGTACTGGACTTATAGTCTTATACTTCTACAGCCGCCACCATACTCCTCGGCTCCAGGGCCGTTTCAGTGGCTACTTCAACTTCCGGCAATCGCAGTACGTTCCGACTCGCGGCCAGTTTTCTTAACACACACGCCTAACCCCCGCCCCCTCAAGCTGCAACCCACCGGTGATCCTGGCTCTAATGATGTCTCGCGGCGCCATCTCCTCGCTGGTGGTGTTGAGATAGAGGCGGCACTGCTGGCTCGCCGCCTGCTCGTCCTCCGCGGACTGAGCAGCAACGGCCCTGGGTAGGTAGGGAGCGGGGCAGCGCATGAGCCGGTTAGATTGGGTCGTGATTGCAGTTTTGACCATGCGGGTAACATGCATTCAGCGGTGGAGGCGTACATCCCAACCCAACCACTGTCCTGCTCTTTCGCATCCGCAAGCCCCCTTGTCTGCCTCCCATCCCACAGCCCCACCTGAAGTGGTCGAACGCCTCCGCTAGCGCCGAGTCGCTGACGATGGGCACCAGGTCGGAGAAGTAGCGGTACTTGAACAGCCAGGTGATGCTGTGCTCGATCTGGGGGCGATGCGTTCACATACATCGAGTGCACAGTTAAAACGCGCCGCACTGTTAGTTCAGTTGTTTACGAGATACTAGCCGATACTAGTGCCAGTTTATAAAGCGGTTCTTGCGGCGTGAGAAGCTCAAGGGTGGGTAGTCTAAAGCAGCCAACACCTGATAATAACGGCAGGGGAAGCCGCAACACGCTGAGCCATTACACACATTACACACATACATATGTTGCTTTCCTCCTGCCACCCGTCCGGCAGCCACCCTCCCCCCCATCCACCTGCAGGAAGGACCTGAGCGCCGCTGTGAGCTCCGTCAGCGTGCGCGGCTGCGATTCGGGCGGCGGCAGCGTCCACAGCCCCAAGTTCTCCTCCGCCTGCTCGGGCGGGTAACAGTGAGGCGCAATGCGTGTGATACAGTGTACACATAAGGGGGCAGCATGGAGGCATTGGGCAGTAGTGACACAGAAGGAGCGCATGCCGAAACCTGTGATTTGGGCATGCAAATGGGCCCTCTACGCGCCCACCAGCTTCACCCGTCGTCGTTACGTGGCTGCTGTTTAGTCGTTACATCCCGCCTACTCTTACACGCAGCCACGCCGCACCCTCAACCCTGCACACCCTCCCCACCTGCATGTGCTTGCGCTTGCCGCCCGGCTGCTCCGGCTCCCCGTAGATCTCACTGGTGCGGATCAACAAGATGCGCGTCAGCCGCACACCTGCCGGGATGGGAAGAGGAGTGTTGGGAGCGGAGAGAGTTAGGCAGGCGAGCGAAGCGCAGGGAGTTGAGATGCTGTTTGCGCGGGGCGGCAGCTAATCAGAAGGAGGGCCAGGGATGAGCGACGGGACAAAAAATTGCAGGGTGTGGTGCGGCAGGGCCGTAGGGTGCCCCCTGCACAACCAGGTTTGCGGCTCTTAGCAGCAATCCATTCACGGACACCGCCACTCTTGTAATGTTGTAATGGGCCTTGGTAGTCACACCCCTAATCCCTAATGCCATGTGACATGCGTGACATCAAAAGTCGCCGACCGACCCAGCGACCCACCGGGCATTGCATCGCCGGTCACCCGCACAGTGGTGTCGGCCGTGAAGGTGCTAAACGTGAAGCCCTCCGGGTCGGTTGGGTAAACCACTCCATCCAGCGCAATGTTGGTTAGGCGGAAGTAGTCTCGAATGGTGGGTAGATGGAGCTTGCCCTGTCAGGAAGGTACATGGCAGCTTCATTGTATGTGGGAATGTCGGATAGTGGCGTAAAGACGTGTGGAGTGGCATTGGAAATGGGTTTCAGATGACAGGTGGGTTTAGGGTTGGGGACAGCTGATTTGACAGGGTTGGCGCCTGGGTACAAACGCTTGCATGGAAAGCGAGCGTGCAGGAAGGCTCCAACTGAAGGCAGAGTCCGCCGTTTCTCCCTTTCCTGGACATGTGTCGACCAACCCTTCCAAGCACCAAGAGATGCGCCATCCCATCGTCTTCCTGTCCATCCCAAGTGCATGTAGCTCAAGTGCTATAAATCTAACAACCTTATATGAAATTGTAATCTATTTGTACTTGCCTCAATCAGCTGGAAGTAAGCACGGGGTGGTGGCGTCCCGTCGGCTCCGGCCTCCCCATGTTGAATGAGCACCGTAGCCATAGGCCCAACCTCCTGGCAGCCCCACTAGGGGCCTGTGGTGGTACCTGACCCAGACAGATATGCCTACGCATGAAGCAAAGTTGGCTTGTGCGTCAAGGTGACTGGCGAACGCTAGCATTTTGGGCACCCGATAAGGAGGTCAAATGAAAGGTGACCAGCTCTGGAAGAGATTAAATGCAAAAATGGTATCGAGCAGCATGCACTTGTGCATATGCATTGCGCTATGGGCCCACCCTGAAACAGTCGGTTCCGCGGGTTCTCTGGAACGAGTTCCAGGCAGGACAGCCGTCCCTAAGCTACGCTGTACTCTACAAAATCGTTTGTAAGCGGCTGATAACAATGCCTGCTTAGGTCAAGAAAGCCCTGACAGGGCGAAAGCAAGCTCCTCTGCTGTGTCCTTCAGGTAATCTGCTGGTTGACGCACCACCTAGGCAGCTTTCCTGCCATAGCAGGTAAAGAGGTCCGGCAAAGCTCGCAGCCACAATCCTCTTGCAGCACCAAGGTTCAGCAAATGGAAGTGGAGCGATTAGGAACCAGTTCCACGGCAAAGGTCCGGACTGTACCACTCGCAGTTCAAGACTATTCAGTCAGCTGGAATAAACAGGAGTTTGCAAGGCGATAATAAGATACCATTTCTAGCATGGGCCCGAAATCCTTGACGTTTGAGGGATAGGCGTTTATCTGGGACGACAATAGAGAAATGAATAAAGAGGACTGCTGTGATAATGATGAAGAAGGGCTACGCAGGAAACTGGCCCAGCTGCAAACTTCGGACCCTGCATATGCAGCGACGCTAAATGACCTGGCTGTGGTGAAGCTCAATCAGGTGCGGTAATGCGGCCATGGTAACGTTCCCTTTGCCTTCGCGTTGCCGATCCTATTGGCAGTTCATGTGCACGTCCCACCCGCGCATGCACCTCTCACTGTTTGTGCAAGACCACTTCTCCCTTAGCCTCCCCGCGACAGCCGTTACGTTCACATTGGTGTCCAGTACGTAGTAGCAAACGCTATCAATCTGAAGGAACACTGTCGTCGTGTCCATGTTGTCCTGCTCTGGCAGGGCGCTGTTGCCGAGGCAGAACGGTTGTTCAACAAGCTCCGAAACTTACGTTTGGAGCAACTGGAGGAACAGGGGCCACCGGGACTTGCGCCCCAGTCTCCGCAGGATGCCAGAGCAGCAGCAGCAGCACCTGTGCTGCCAGATGCCAGCACCGTTGTGTCTACACCAGCTGCACCAAGCGAAGCAGCAACCGCGACAGCCAGCAATCCCATTAACGGAGGCGGCACGGTGGCAGGCTCGTCCACCGCTTCATCAGCTGCTGCAAGCTCTTCAATCTCGCCGCCGCCAGTCTCGCGACCACGTGGCGGTGGTGTCGCCGGCGGCGCCATGGCTGGAGGCGCGGCGTTGTTTGCTCGGGCCTTGGGCGGGGGTCGCCCCGTAAGTGCGGGTGCTGGCGCCCGCCCTGGCTCCGCTAGGCGAGTATTGGGATCCGATCCGGTGTCCAAACCAGACTCAGCCGGGGCAGCGGCTGCTGCTGACGGTACGGCAGGCGCTGCTGGCGGGAAGCCTGGACGAAGCCAGCAGCAGCAGGAGCTTGGTGCTGGGTCTGCGTCTGGAACGCTGCATGATAGGCGGGGTCCAGCGGAGGTGGAGGCGGCGCCAGCAGCTGCATCGCCGCTTAAAGAGCGAGGGAAGGGGTCGTCATCACCAGCACCCAAGCATGCACATGCAGGGGCTGCGGCGACACAAGCTCAGCAGGAGGTTCAGGAACCGCCGGCGAATGATGGATCGCTGGCGGCAGCAGCGGCGGCCGCGGCCGCCGCAACTGCGGCGCTGGAGGGGAGCCGCAGGGGCTCGGAGCCTCAGGCTGCAGCTGGGGCAGCAACAGCAGCAGCAACGGTGGCGGCGGCGGTGGTGGTAGACTCCTGGGATGAGGCGGCCCAGCACTCACCAGCCCGGTCGCAGCCTACAGGACCGTCGGCGGCGGCAGTGGTAGCGCCGTCGGCACCGTCGCCGTCGGAGTCGGCGATGAAGCTTCGTTCGCAGGCAGCTGCAGCGGTTTCCGCGATGCTGTCAGGTACGGTACGACACCACCCGGTGAAAGCGGCAGCAGCGGCGGCTGCAGGTCCTCCGGGCGATCATGAAGAGGACGCAGCGTTGCGAGGTGAGGCGCCAGGACAGGGGCCGGGGCGGGTTGAAGGCTCGGGCGCAGAGATAGCGATGGAAGCAGGTTTGGACAAAGAAAGGAGGGGCCTATACCTCCTCCTATGCTGTTACGATTTGTGCTCTTTGCCGTCATGCCCTCACCTCTCCCGCAGCCTCGCTAGGCGAATGCACGCACGTGGTCGAGGTGTACGGACTCACCACCGACGTCCGTACGGCACACCTCGAGGAGTTTGTGACCGCATTCGCCCCCCAGGTGGGTTGAGCACCAGGGGCCTGGTAGTCTCGATGCATGCAATGCACACTGACAAAAATGAAGGCAGTCTACGCTGATAGGATAGAAGCGTTAAATGCGAATCACGTTTGCACTCGCCCTCATTCCCTGGCACTACTCGCACGCCCTAACCAACCAAGCCCCCTACCCTGCAGGACGGGCGCCCCCTGCCCGCCATCAAGTGGGTGGATGACAACCATGCGCTGCTTGTGTGCCCGGATGGGGTCACGGGTGAGGATGGGGGCTTGGGGTGCGGCGGTGCTTACTGGGGGCTTGCTTGTCTCCTTCCCGCACGTATCGTATGTGACCTAGGTCCCTGCTCCCCGCCTTCTCACCTCCATGCCCTCCAGCCACATTCCTGCTTGAGGAGGACCAGGACCTCTTCCGCTTGAGGCCCTTCTCGCAGGCGTCTGAGGCATCCAGGGCCGTGGCTGCTTCAGGTGTGTGTGATGATGGCGTGTGACGCATCCCTTGCGCCGTTACCCAACCCCTGCCCTTCCGCCGGGCCGCTTTCCCAGGCTGTCCTTAACTCTCTGTCCTCTGGCCTAATACCATGTTGGTATGCATGTTGTCCCTTCCCGTTCTCCATTTCAACGTGCTCCACCTCGTACGAGACACTGACGTACGAGACACTGGCAACTACCAGACACCGACAATCCATGCCGCCTTCCGCCCCGCCGCACCCCTCGCCCCCAGAGCTGCTGCCCCCTCGCGAGCGCCCCAAGACCACTGCTGCGGTGGCCAAGAAGATGCTGAGTCACGCGCTTGGCATGAGTCAGCTGCGGGATCGTGCGGCGGAGAGGGACCTGGCGCAGCAGCGCAAGGTGTGTGCGGGAGGGGAGAAGGGGCGGTGACCTTGCTTGACCTTGAGTTGTATCGGCATATGTCCTGATGTCATCATCTGCCGCCTTGCTTGTCCTCATCTTGCTTTCTGGTGATGTGACCTTGTATAGCTGTGGTAAAAATAACTGGCCGCGAGGCGAAAAACAAATTTAGCACCCTGCCATCATCCTTTCGTTGGCACCGCCCCGGATACCGGAATGCGCTGCAGGCAGCTCGAGAGGCGCGGAGAGAGCGGGAACAGAAGCTGGCAGCCGCCTGGGACGACGACTGACGTGGAGAAACATTGCGGCCGTGCAAGGAGGTGATCCGACACATACTCCATTCGTTCCATGGGGGCTGTGATACCGGCGAGGATGACGGTGATGTGTATGACAGTGGTTTGAAGAGGGAGGAGATGGGCGCCTGCTACGCTCCCAAGGAAGGGGCGTGCTGGGATGTGTTTGATTCCAGGAGATGCCTCTAATGGGAATTCCGCATGTTGTAATGCACCGGCTATGATAATCATATTGAGGAGGAGCCTACAAGCGGTTTAGGCACCTCTCATAACACGCATAGGAAACTGACAGTGCAACATCCACTGCATGTGTCCCGACGCAAAACACCAATCCCGTTCCTATGGCTTCTCATGAGGTAGGCCAACGATAGGCTAGATAAAACCGTTGCCTTGGTCATTTGTACCTCTCATATCCTTCTCAGTCCTAGCAAGTCCCAGACGTCACAGCCCTTGCCGCTGTGTATGTATGCAAGCTCCAACGCCTCCAAGCCTCGGCCCCCTACAGACCCCCTCTCTCTGCACGCTAGGTATGCTGCATACCGGTAATAGGGCACTCCCCTTACTTACATGCATAGCAATGCTCTGCCCCCCTCATCATGTAAGACCCACCTGCCTAGTCACATGTACCCACGCAGATTTGCAAGGGCACGTCAACCCTTCTATCCACCCAATTCCCTTCACCCTCCACTGCCGTATCCTGCCCTCTCCCACGGTGGTCCTGCTTCTCTTCCCACTAACACGTGGCTCTTCCCCTCCTAAGCTCCCCATCTGGCCCTACCTGCTCGGCTTCCATCTGCGCCTCGCCCCGTCGCGGGCCCTCCCCTCATGCCAAGTCTACCCCACATGTTGCACCGCCCCCCTTACGCCGCTCCAAGCCTCCTTACGCCGCCCCCCCCACCTCCCCTCACGCCACCCCACCCCCCCTCACGCCGCCTCTACCCCCCTCATGCCGACCCCACCCCCCCTCATGCCGCCTCCACCCCCCCTCACACCGCCTCCACCGTGCTGCACCTGAAGCTCTCCATCATGGTGCGCAGGGTGGGCAGGCTGCGCTCGTAGGCGGGGGTGGTGGTCTGCAGCCGCAGCGTGTACAGCCGGTTGTTGGCCACTCCCAACACGGTGCTCAGCGTGCGGTCCCACTCCAGGGAGTAGTCCTGGGGGATGTGTGTGTGTGGGGGGGGGGGCACGGTTGCCGTGTAGGGGGGCAGAGCAGAGGGAAGTGGGGTGTGGGGGTAGAAGTGGTGAGGCTAACATAGAACGAGGGGAGGTAAAGAGGAAACAACTAACTGACTGAGAGATAAGGCGTCAACATGGGTTGCAACATGTGAGCCAGCCCGACCAATAACGAGGGGAGGGGGAGGAGGTGTGCGTGGGGGCGAGATCTCCAGCACGAGAGCTTGTAAAGTAGGCGGAGAGGGTGAGGAAGGTGCAGTTGCATGGAGGACGCAACCGCAAAAAGGGCGAACCATGGGGGCAAGGAGGGCGGTGTGCATGGTTGAGGCTCGACCCTTGCCTGCTACGCCCCCTACCCCTCAGAGGGGAGACTAGCAGACTACTTACCCTCATCACCTCCATCCGGGTGGCTGCGTAGGCGTTCCGGCTGGCGTACGACGTCATGCGGATTGCAATGTCGTAGTAGGTTTGACCGTCGTCAGCCACCCGGCTTGCAGCTGAAATGATGTCGCCGTACCGAGCAATGCCGATGCGGGTCGACATGAACTCCTTGGTTAGGTACTGGTCCAGCAGCCGCTTAGCCGCGTCATCGGGGGAGCCTAGATCTGCCACAGACTTGAAGCGGGAGGAGGAGGGTGAGGTCATGTCCACGAAGAGGTTCTCCTCTACATTTCTGGGGCTCCGCAGAAAGATGTCATTGCCGGATGACGTCACTACAATCCAGTTCTCAGGGCAGATGAAGTTGTACCCGTCGAGCTTATCGACAATGGCCCTGTAACCGGGCGGCGGAGCAACGAAGGCGCGCGCTGGCGATACTGAAGATGCTAGATGCGAAGTTAGCAGCGGAACGCTGAGCATGGACAGTAGCATGTCACGGCGACTGGCGTCCTGCTGGACGGGTGCTTGTCGCTGACGCGAGCATGCGCCCGAAGCAAGCACTACCGGTGCGAACGGTCTTGTCCGTCTGCATGCTCGTTTTGACGAACATTTAACTGTGGATTTTTGCAGCTTCAGTTGCTGCATGGTGGCTTCTCTAGTGTGCAAGGCTATACCGCACACTACTTGGCTTATCGTCTAGAGCCAAATTCAACTTTTTATGCCTAAGATTTTCTATATTGTTCCGTTCCTTATGTTCGCTGATGATATCTATGGAAGATCAACCGTGTCAAGCTCAACTGAAGGTAAACAGGTATTTCGATAGGTAGGCTCTTATTACAGCAATGCCTTAAGTATGGTTAATACAACTCATTTGGGATAAAAATAGATAGATTTGGGGCGCAGCTTGCGAAATCTTAACCGGGGCTACTGCCGAATCTGCGATCAACCCGCTATGGCCAACTCGCAATGTCAGGATGGATAGAGTGTCGCAATGGACTCTCTTAAGCAGATACTCGCGACGCGCATCACAGGACGGAATTCACCTCAGGACATGCCACCCGCATGCCATCCCTGGTACAGGCAACAGGCTACCTCTTGAAAACCATGGGTAGCCTGATATGCGCAGCTAACATGGTGCCCAGTCGCGGTCTTTTCCACAAAGTCCTCGTTAAGGGCTGGCCCAAACCACGACACGCCGTCGGCAGGGCCGGTAGGCAGAGGATAGGCAGCTCCGCTCTGGGTGCGCAGGCATACGCATCACAGACTGCTGACCTGTCCACCAACGTACCTGCCCGCCCAAAGTTGCACAGGGTCTCCAGTGAGCGTACGTACGTTCTCTACTTGGTAAAGCACGACGCCCGCTATGCATTATGCCCCGAAATGCCTCTGCTTCGCAACACACTTGCATTGACAGCCGATAAAGGGAAAATGGGGCATTGCCCCACTTGCCTCAGGCGGTTTCCCCACTAGATGGCGTGTTGGGGAATGGCCATTTCCAGCCCTTCTGCAGGCAACTAACGGCTAGCAACAGCAGTACAGCACGTTCGAGCTTTCAATGCACAGTAGCCTGCTGTAAAGCTCCAATCTTCATACCGAGGATCGAATCACATGCGCAAGCGTCATGCTCCGATCGTCCCAATGGTGCATGTTGTGGCGAATGAGGTCGGCGACGGCAGCAAGTGACCCATGGTTCATGTCATTTTGTTGCATATGAGAAGGGATGTAATAACGGCGTACCTTGACGCTGATGGCAACATGCTGGCAGCGTCCAAGTCTGTGCCAAGGAAGGTGACGGAAAGAGTCATTCGTGGGGCCCATTGCGAGCACGTTTTGCCGTACGGTGCCGGAAGCGTGAAGGTCATATTTCTCGGCCTGAGGCATCTCATTGCCGGCCCAACACATTAAGACGGAACCTTTGTTTACGTCTTCTAACTCTCTGGCGCTGTATTAGCTATCCGCTCAACCTCTCCCAAGGGGCACGACGACTTGCGACCTCCGCTTGCTTCGCTTTTACGGTCTCAGCGAGGCGACCCAGGCTATAAGTATGGCGCGGGGTGCTTCTTACAGCGCTGCGGCGCTACTGCTGCTGGTTGCGTCGGCGCTTGCCTTGAGCCCTGCTAACGCGGCCGGTGAGTTGCTCCGTTGTCACCCAACGTCTTCCGGTGATCAGGTAGCTGTGCTTCACTGGCAAAACCTTTACTGAAGTCGGTTGCTGCGAGTCTGTCGCGCCAATGCATGGTTTGGTGTATCCGTCACGCCCACCACTTTTGGCCCACCGCTGCGTACACACCAGCGAACATTCGACCGACGATCTCCCCGCAAGTAGTTAAACCCCGTGGCTTTTGTAGTTGAAAGAAACAAGCAAATGCTTTGGCTGTGCTCGTTTCTCTCCTATTCCGCGCCGTGTCGTCATCATTCCATCAAGACCGGATATGTTTGCGAAATCGCCCTTGGCTTAAACCCAACCACATATTACAGCCCTTTATGACTAGCTCGTGTTCCTTCCTGTATTTGTTATGTTTCTGCAGTCGAACCCCGCCGAGCGTTGCGGCAGAGCGAGGCCCAGGCGCTTGCAGGCGCCCAGGCCAACGCGACCGGAGGTGGGTCTGCGCAAGCGAACTCGCAGGCCATCGCCCAGGCTGCCGGAGCAGGCAATGCACAGGCTATTTCTCAGGTGCGTGCTCGGGTTTCGGGTTTGTCAGCGTGCGGCTTCGGCTGTGGTTGCAGTGTCCTGAGCGACTGACCCGTGGGTCGCGGCGGCCTAAACGATGAAGGAGATACTCTGCCCACTCCTAATTAAATAGGAGGTATTAAAGTCCCTCCCCAAGATTTCATTCACTGGTCATGCCGCGAATGTGATGCAAGTCGAAAACGTTCCGTGGATGTTGACCTAGCACGCGCTCCTTAGACCTCCTTTGACCCACGTTTGACACGTGCGCTGCCTTCAAGACCCCTCTTTTCTAGAAGCTTAACCCCCTGTCGTCCAATGCCACCTCCCAGGCTATTGTCAGCGCTGGCGGCGGCGCCGGCGCCCCTGCGGCCGCTCAAGGTCTAGCGCAAGCTTCAGCTCAGGTTGGCACAGGGTGAAAGGCGTTGGGAGGCTCTGTACAGTTCGCAGAGCGTTTGAATGACGGGAAACCTTTCCGCTTTCCTGCATCTGCTTTGCGCGTTCCATATTTTGCACCATTTAACTGGGCATCAGCTTCACGTTAGCACTGCGCTTCATGCGTATGCGAGGATGTCCGATAGGGAGTCCCTGGCCACCTCGCTTGGGTAGCAACTTGACCGGCATGTTGCTGCGCTGGTGCTAACTGGTGCTTTCCCTTAGCCTACATCTGATGTGAAGTGCTGCCTTCATAGCCTTCATGGCTTACAATCCTACCACTCCTGCTTCGACCCGCGCAACCCCCAGGGAGGCACCGCGCAGCAAACTGCCGCCCAGGCCATCGCACAAGCCTCCGCCCAGTGTAAGTACGGGAGTGAAAACTCCAGCCCTCATCACTTGCCAGCTCTTGTGTACCCGATCCAATGCCAGCTACCGGTACCAGCAAACTTCCCCCACCAACCGAGCCGCTTCCCGCGCCGCCCTCGCACATGCCACTTTTGACCCCCCCACCTCTACTCACAGCCAGCGGCGCCACCACCACTGCCGTGGCCGACGCCCTCGCGGCAGCTCAGGCTCAGGGTAACGCGCAGGCGGTGGCTCAGACGCTGGCTCAGGCCGCCGGCAAGGGAGGCAACGCATCCACTGCCGTCGCGGACGCCATTGCCAGGGTAAGTGGGGGCGGGCGGGGTTGGTGCGGGCGGGGATGGTGTAGGGATGGCCGCCATGGGTGGTGGCGTGGGTGCGACTAGGCACTGCGCGTGTGGAGGGGGGAAATTATGACACTACCAGGAAGGGGGGAAAGACGTGTTATTGAACGTGGGAGCGCTGTGTTTGGGAGCATTGTGCGTGCGGGCAGTAGGCGGTAGGCGCCTGTTGCATGCACATGACGGTGCGCATGACTGTTCGTGTTCGCAATTTGGCTGCATGGGTACTGTTTTGAGCGACCCGCACGTCCGGTAATAAGTGTCTGCTACAGTCCTTGAAACCCCTGTTCAATTGCGTACCTATTTCTTAAGCTCACTCCCGCCCTCCCGCCCTCCCTGCTCAGGCTGTGGGTTCCGGAACCGCTGTTGACGCCGGCGCAAAGGCTATCGCCCAGTCCGCGGCCCAAGGCGGCGCCGCCTCCACCGCCGCTGCCCAGGCCATTGCCAAGGCCGCCTCTCAGTGTGGGTAGCATTGGACCAGCACACGGGATTGTCTCGGTGCTGCTACTCGGCGATTTACTCGGGCGGTACTCGGGATGGGTTTGCGGCGTTGGATACGGTGCCTTTCTAGTCGTACTGTGCTAGGATGTGGCTTTCCTGACCAAGGGCCTCTCGTATAAGGGTGCACCTTTCCATCTTCCCGTCTGCATCTCCTTTCCCTTTGCCAGAATCTCCTTACCTTTCCTCACGTGCTCTCACGTGCGCCCCATACCCTCCCGCTACATCACCCGTTCTACACACACAGCCCCCAGCGCCACTGCTACCGCGGTGGCCGAGGCCATCGCTCAGGGCCAGGCGGCCGGCGGTGCGCAGGCTCAGGGCGTGGCTCAGGCGGTGACGCAGGCGGTGCAGCAGGGCGGGCCGCCTACCGCCGCGGCTGTGGCACAGGCCTTCGTGCAGGTAGGTGTGCTGGGCTGTGCGGGCTGCTGGCAGGGGACCTGCATGCATGCATTAGGACTTGCACCTCTTTTTAATGGAGTGGGAAGGGCTTGGGCGCCTTGTTGGTGGTGCACAAGAGTGCACAAGCTCGCCGCCGCTACATACCCGCCCGCCATGCACGGAGGCACCGCAACCCCACGGCGCTGTCACTGTCGTCACTGTCATCCTGTGCGATGCCTTTCCGCAGGACGTAGTACAGATTAAGTGTCTTCTGATTTATGATCCATGTGGCTCACCCCCACACCCCTCAGGCTGTCAACGCTGGCAACACCACCGCTGCGGGTACCGCTATCGCCAACGCCGTCGGCGGCGGCAACGCCTCCGTGACCGCAGTGGGGCAGGTGTGTACGAGTTCCGTAGTGTGGGACCCGGATCGCGTTTAGGTACCGATGTACCTAAACGGGACCGGTGAACGTCCATAATACACCCTCACCTCGCCTGTTGCTATCGGCCCTCCCCTGCTGTCGCTGTCGATACTCCGCAGGTCATCGCGGCTGGGTACGGTCAGGGCACCAGCGCCGTGCAGGCCATCGCACAGGCCCTCGCCGTCGCTGCGGGCAAGGTGGGAGCACCATATCTCACGCACGTTCGCCGTGCCTTGTCCGACATGCAGGGCACCCGTAGCTTGAAAGAGTACCTCGCATCCGTCCGCCATCCCGTCCCCCCTCGAAAGCACTCCTTTGAAACCTCGCCAACCCATCTGCTGCCTGCTTCCTCCCCTTGGTTCCAACCACCTCCTGACGCCTCTTCGCCCTCAGAATCCCTCGGGTGTGGCCTCCGCGATCGCCGAAGCGCTGGTGTTGTCCAACGCCAACGGCAGCCTCGCGCAGGGTGCGGGCTTTGGGGTGGCTCTGGCACTGGCCAATGGCACCTCCAGCCCGCTGGGAGCCGCTTACGCGCAGGCGCTGTCACAGGCCGTGTCCTCTGTGGGCTGTGGCGGCGTTGCTAATGTGCTGGCTGGTGAGTGGCCTGCTGGCGGCCTTGCTCGCGGGTGGAAAGTAGAGCGTGTGCATGGGGTTGTTACGTCCATACCGGTACATGCGGAAGGAGGCTACAGAGCGAATGGGGATGACTCGGAGTGTGTTGGGAGTTCTCTCCATTGGGTGTGACATACCGCCTTGTG